GCTTCAGCAGACTACGACAGACCACAGAATCTACGCCCGACTACACTCGGCCACGGCAGACGGCAGGACGCCGGTCATGAGTCGATCGGTAACCGGAGCAGCCCGAACACAGGTGTCTGACTCTGGCCCGCCGCCAGCCCGCGGCCCGCAGACAATGCACGCCGGTCGTCTGCAGCGAGCCGATCCGATCAGCACTCGAGCACCTGGGCACCTCCGGCTGCTGGCACCAGCACCGGCACGGCCCGGCCCGCGGGACTTTCAGATCGATCAACGCAGGAAGGATTCAGCTTGTAGTGCAATAATCAAGCGAAATTGGAGGTAAGGTTGTCCAATTTTATGTCAGAACGTGAATACGGTGGGTTGGAAAATTACCTTTCAATTAATGCTTGAACATGAGCTTCTTCGGAGGGTAGGGGAGAGTGGGGCACATTCGTGCAAAAAATGGATAAATCCATATATCTGTTCTTTGGTTAGTGCAACGGCAAAATTGTTGATTGTGGTATGGAAAGGAACTATTGCAGATATTTTTCCTCTTTAAAAGTTATCCTCTAAAATTATTGCTTCTATTAGAAAAAATGACTTTTAATAACTCTGAACGTTTGCACGAAACTGCCCCACCTATGGGGCACATTCGTGCAAGGGGTGGGGCACTTCCGTGCACCCTGCAAAGTTCTAGAAATTACCGGGCATTACCAGAAATTTATCAAAGGAAATTGGCAGGGGGTCATTTCACTTGATTCCTTTCGACAAGAATGCATTGCACAACATATGTAGAAAGAATGGGCTGGCCAACAAGAATGTGCCAACTGCCGGCCTCCGTGACCTCGCCAAGTTCGCGTGAATTACTCGTCACGACGTCGCAAGCAGCCGAGACTGAGTCAGGCGAGCGTCATTAGTGAAACCTACTATAGATAAAGTCATAAATAGCAAAAACTAAAAAAAATATGCACGAATGTGCCCCCAGGCAGTGCGTACACGAACCTGCCCCACAACGTTATTTGTAATATATTTCAAAATTTCTTGTTGAAAAAATGACACTTTGTCAACAAACAAGTTTGCAGCAGTTCCGTGAATAGAGTGAGCACCTTCGCCCCCAATTTTGAAAAGCTGAACCACATTTCCGAGTCAGGATCACGAAAATGGATGATATGAGAAAAGTTTGGAAAGCTCACGAATATTACAAATTTGCGTTTTTTTATCAAGCATGACAGCAGGTACAGTGTTGTAGTGTTGCACGTACTTCTACGGTGAACGAAGGGCGGCAATGATAGACACATTTCCATAATTTACCTTGAGCTCGTGCAGTCACTCGTGTTCCCATAAACTGCTGAAAACGAATGTGCCCCATGCACGAATGTGCCCCACTCTCCCCTACATATACCTGCTAATGTTAAATCGAACTAGTATCGAATCAGTGGGAAGCGGATGCTGTTTTGTGAAACACCACAATGAAATAACCGTCTGCCTCTGCCATGTCAGAAAGTTGTCCCAAGATAACGCGGCCAATATTGGACTTCGGGACAGGAGACTCTTAGTTTCTGAAGCTGGCAGCCTGGCATCACTAGTCTGATCACGAGCAGCCTCTCAACGCAGTCGCGGTACCGTCCAACCTGCTGCGCCGCTGCTTGAGACTAGCGCCCAGCTAACTAACCGTGACTGAGCCCACAACCACAACTTATTGTTGGTTCAAGAACATGTGTATTGCCCTTCCGCCGTCGCGTCGGCTTTCGCTGAACTCGAGCATACATCAAGGGCCGGACTCGAACAAGGTTAGGAAGGTCCGGCTCCCGGGTTACGTCGAATCGAACGGCGGTGCCTTGCCACCGATAGCATCCCGAGAAGAAACAGCCACGAGGAACTATTGCGACAAGAGCACGTGACGAAACTGCACCGTGACTAAACAAACACGGCTCAACACGGGTGCATTGGTAAACATGTCACCTTCGTCCCGTGCCGACTCAGCCTGGAGATAAAACGGCGACGGAAATACCCGTCTCGAAACGGCAGCACGGGATGCGCGTTAGCGAACAACATCCAGATCCAGAGCGCCTGTCTGAAACCAAACGTGTGCCGCGAGGATGCAAAGTTAAATATCTAAGACCGAAAACCAAAGTCCCCTAAAAAAAGTCCAAGAGATATCCAACATCAACCGCCAACCAGCCACGTGCTAGCCGTCTCTCACGTTACGAAACCACCGCAGAGAAATGTGTGCTAACGACGTCCGTGGGAATCGCAGTGGCGCGTAGGTGGAGTGCGTGAGTGTGCGTGCGAGTTTGCCGGAGACGTTAAGTGTTTGTCCCGTGGGAGTCAGTGTGTTTACATTGGCCATTCATTGAACAGCACGACGGTGAAACTTCAGAGGCGGCCCTTTTGCGTGGGGATGAATGGAAAGAAACGTTTAGCGCTGGGGTTTATGCCTAATCCGGTACAGAGACACACAGAGGCTGAATGCTTATGTAATGGAACATTTTCAGTAACACATCAGTCATGCTCGGTTTAATGTCAAAAAGTACTATCTTCAGGTGTGATAGTAGAGAAATAAAACTGGACGGCCTGCAATTGTATGGGTTTAATTCACAGCAGTCAGTAACAAGACATCAACATAAAATATTTTATGCATACCGAAAGTCGGTCCCAGCAGAAATGAAGCCGGTCGCTTATAAGCGGTTAGACATTCAGCACGAATAAAAATGGAAGTAGCAATGTTAACCAAGAGAAATGTTTAAACTGATAGCAGCAATGTTAGAAAGTGGAGGCAGCGTTTAACGCTTAATTGCTACAGTATAGCTCCTAACCGACTTAAATTCAACAGATTATAGCGAGATAATGAAGTCGTTACCTGGGAAAAATGCATTTTATTTCTCACACTTTCAGATAATCTCAAATCGAAATGCGGCAGTAAATGAGCTAACACTACACATCTACCTCCGATAGTTGCAGAAGCCGCCTTGGGATTACCGAAACCGAAGGCGATTAAGAGGACAGATCGACGACATAAAACTAATTGCAGAGCCCAAAGACCTCTACCGGACGATGGACGTGCCAGTTTGAGCCGCCCACACAACCACAACCGCCGAGATAAGACTTCGCCTCGTGCGAGATATCGTACACGAGGTCTCCGCTTTGCAGAAGTGCAGAAGTTCTTGCGAGAAAGTTGGCAATGCATTTGTCTGGTTCGACGATGGTTCCTGTCATTGGTGCGATACGGAAAGAGAGTAATCTTGAAAGATTTAACTATTTCCTGGACCTTTAAAACGGAATAGAAAGCACAGACACTGGCGCCAATATTGCGCATTTCTTGTTTTAATGCTCCGAAAACAATGCATCAACAACAAAAGCTGACACTGTCTTCGGATGGCATTGTTAAGTTTAAGTCGCAATAAGCCATGTTTATAAGACGGACCAGCCGTAGCACAATTGGATTCAAAGACGCCTGCATGATCGCAAGATCGCACACGGCCGCAGAACACGATCAGAGATTAACAGTCAATTTGCAAGCATGCATACGGACATTGGCAGCCAGTATCGCTCCTAATCTTGTAGGCGGTAGCGATTCTTGTGCAAATTGCGGAGAACTCGGCTCGAAGCCTATTAAAAGTTTCGACAGTTTCGACTTAATCCTCGTCCAATGGACGTATCAATGGAGGATGATTTGACATTTGACGTCTCCCAAGTGATTTGCGATCGCATAAATGCATTGGCATGCGTTACTCGTCGCCATGCAGCGCCAGCTTGAATGGAATGCTGCGCCCGTGGGTCATGTCATGGAGCCTTACTTCGAAGCTCTCTCTTATCTGTATATCGGTTTATATTGATGAGTTAGAGCGAGAATTGCTTTCAGGATTATTGGATTGCGAAAGTGAAACCTGCCAAAAAGTTAAAACTATGGTTGCCAGGCGGAGTCGATGCTGCAAAGGTCTTTCAGCGTAATCACTATTAAACATTCGCAAACGTGATTCATTCATCTATTCGGGAAACACCGAAACTAATTTACAGTTCACCTGAGCGTGTCTTTGTCCAACAGGTCTCCGTTTGAATTCGGTCTTGTTGCGATATTCGAGACATTGTTGCACGTCAGCGCAACACGCAGTAGCAGCTTGTGGCGGCCTACTCAATGGCCGCGCCCTGGTCTCACCCCGGTAGTAACTCCATTCGGAAGGCCCTCATTCATGGACGCTGACCGCCTCAGTCGGTGTTCATAGACACTGAATGAAACGGCGCCATAAATTCCACGGGAAGGACACGACTGTCCCCGGCTGAAGTCACGTACTGGGATGACCCATGAGGTGTGTCACTGGAAGACGGACTTTCGCCCAGACAGTGAGCCACACCGGGCAGCTTTCGGAAACCCCAACGTATTTTGAGGAATCCCAAGCTAGTAAAGAGCTTTAGACGTTACTCTTCAGGGGATCAACTAAAAGATGATGTTCACGAATAAGAGGATAAACCACACGAGTTATGTGTACTAGGGACCAATGGCAAGGCTAAGCCGTGATTATTACATGGTTCAAACAGCTCCTTCTACCTACGAACTTCGTCTATGGCAATGATAAAGAATGGTGAATAGCGCCTGAGACTAAAAAATAACGTTGCGTCATCTCTGCTCATTTGCAAGCGATTTGAACGTGTGAATATCTCAACGACTTTCAAACCTGTTTTTCATGTAATTTTTCAAAAGAAAGTCGGCTGATATGATCGAAAACCATAAGCACTGAGCGCTATTCGAGAAACGGCTTCTGCTAGACATTTCCACTTCGGGGTTTTATGACCGCGAAACGACCCACTTGGTGCTCCTTTCGAAGCCTTAGGGTGGTCGTCCAAATCGTGTTTCATCGACGTAAATGTGGACTATCCCGCTAACCGTGAAAATGACCAGGATCATCAGCGAAAAAAAAAATCAGACTGGGCGGCTAATCAAATTTCCGCCGTGGTTGACAAGATTCTGTCCCTGTAGCGGGTATACACTCGCTGGCAGACCCCGGCCGGGTCAAGGTACTCACACTTTGTGCGTATTCCTGGGTATGTTGAACGGCACCCTCGTCAGTCCGCGATGCGAGCAGTCCACCACCGAGGCGCTGCACTCACAATCCTTGGGACACGCCGCGGCTGGTGTCCACAGCACCATCACCATCACCAGGGCGGCCAGCACCAGCCGCCCCGTCACCATCGCTCGCGACACCACCCTGCCGGTCATGGCTCCGGGTCAGTCAGTCACTGCACATCCCAGGCGCACCGACACACACCCCTAACACCTCGGACCCTCCGCGGCCGGGCCCCGCGGCTCACTGGGACCGGAGTGGACGGTCACCGGCGCCGAGCGCAGGGAAGGCGACGCTAGCGCCGATGGGTCACTGCGGCAGACTGCGGAACTTTGGCTGGCTGGCTGGCTAACCAGATGGCGCTATAAAATGTATTTGTAACGTAAGTTTGACACCGGTCACCGTTCCATATTTTCCGTCCTTAGAGGACAATCAAATCACACCGTTCCGTGCTTCTATCCTCAGGATACAGAAATCCTTCTCCTCCACGCCGCAACCCCCCTCCGGGCTGGACAGGCAACTTTATCTCATGCGGGCTGCTCCCTTGGAGCGGCACCGCTGCTCCCGAGGGAGCGCACCCCGTAGCCGGGTGCAGTGAGTGCCTTGGGGCTGGGTGGCCTGTCCTCTGGACGGGCTCAGCCCCGGCGACTCACTAGGGTGCCTGCCCAGACCAATGTCTCCCCCTATATCCTATCATCCTCCCGGCTCTGAAATGGTCCCATTGGACCGAAAGGGCCTAACCCAACAAAACAAACAAACAAAGACAATCAAATTCTTCTCCTCCACGCCTCTAACCCCCTATTCCGGGCGGAATGGTCACCTTTCTGCGACGCGAGTAGTTGCTGCCTCTGGAGCAGACTCACGTACGATGGGGTAACCTTGTGCGGGACTGTTTGGCCGCACCAGTCACCAAGTTGACTCAGCCCCGGTGGAGCACCAGGGTGGCCGCCCAGACTAATGTCTCCCCTAATTCCTATAATCCTTCCGCTCCGAAGGTCTCGTCAGACCAAAAGGTCCTATCCCTACAAAGCAAAACAAATAGGTTGGGACATGTCGGCTGTCGCCTATCCCAAGGGACGGGCTCTGTCGTTGCGGCGCCTCAGCAGACGTCATGGACATGACTCTACAAATCCTCACCGCGGACAAATTCTAGGACCTAGTCTATTAAACCACCCAAGCCTGAGTACGAAACGATAGGGAAGGGTGGCTAAGGTATATCAGGCCATTTCAGGTAAGCCTATCCTAATATTAAGTTCTTCAATTGTCTTCAAATTAATCATGTGTTTATTATCGTCAGGCCACGCATATCCTTTCATGTATCGTCTCACCTAGTCTTCCGCGTTAAACGATTGTTATTTGGCCTAAATGAAGGTTTCCATTCCACGGTACAGTGACTCAACAAGTTCATTATTAACCATCAAACAATTAAGAAAGGGCTAGCGAAAGAAGATGCAGCCCATCATATGACACAATTGTTTCAGGCACGCTGTTTCCACCATACATAAACATATCATTACACATGCACATTGTCTAGCAAATACGAAAGCAGTCTAGCAAATACGAAAGCAGACTAGCAAATACAATAGCCAACAGCAGCACCTGCGCGCATTGCACTGCACCTGACCACCATGCGTCACTAGCAGTCTCACTGAATAGCACCCCGTCAGCTAACCTGTGTTGCCTTCTTCACGTCACCATCTCGAGTCTCAGGGCCGACAACAGCCGCTGTGGCCGCCGCCACGGCAGCCTCCAGACCCGACTCAGTCCTTCGCTGGTTATCGACACTGGGGTTATCCTCAGAGCTGCTAGAATCCCGCACAGCTTCATGAGAGTTGGTAGAATCCTGACCCGCTTCTGCACTTTCAGAGCTGACGGAATCGGGCACGGATACCTCGGACTCGGCATCGTTCTGTCTAACTGCACGTTCCTCTGAGGGTTTAGGGCTCGACATGGACAACATCGCAGCCTCCTGACGCTGGGTCTGGGCCAGTTCGGCCTTCTCTTGCTCTAGTTTCTTTTCCGCTTCTAGACGTTTCTTCTCCCGTTTTCTTTCCGCCCGAGCCTTGTTCCGTCTGGAATGGTAAATCACGAGTCATTGTGGTGTCTGCGATAATAAAACCAACTCAAAAATATCATCAGTGTTGCATCTACATCTACAAGTGCCTGTGCACATGATACAGTCTTCAACAATATAAATGAGAAACTTTATCGTTAAATTATAAGGAAGTCTGCATTCGACATTGCATTGACAAACACGTATCCGAAGAGCACCTACATATATTCATCGGCCGATCCATATATTTGAGAAACTATTAAAAGCATTGGTATCCAATACACACTGAAATTGAGGTTTATTTCGGTCCAATCGACTCACAGTTCCTGTTGGTGTTTCCAGAGGTACTGCTGGTAGCGCAGCTTCGGCAGCGTGGTGCCGGTGAGATAGCAGGTCAGCGAGAACACGCCGCCGCCGATCAGGCCCAGAATGCCGCCTGGAACGGGGCACAGAGAGGTGAAGTTCATGGTGATAAATAATTAGAAGTTAGGTAATGGTGAAACGGAGGAAATGGTGACCATTTGCGAATATAGATAGACGTGTTGCGCTTCGACGTCTCCTCTGACACTGTACAGCTGGCAGATTTTGAAGCAGACCAGTGTGATAAAGGGCAAGTGATATATCGATGATTGATTTGAATCGAGACGTTTGCTTTCAAATAACACCCCTATGTGTTCAAAGCATGCATTCATGTGTTGACCTGCACGTGAGCGCGGTGTGAGCCTCACCTGCCACGGCGCCGGCGGTCATGCCCCGCAGCCCCATGCTGGCCTTGTAGAGCGCGCCGGCCACCACGCCTCCGCAGCAGTAGTGCAGCGCAGATATCTGGTTCGTGTACACCATCAGCGTCGTGGAGACGAGCCTGCATCGGAGGTAGAGCGATGTTGTTCAATGGACGCCGCTTATAAAGTAAGAGTTGTGTCAAAATGAAAATTTTACTTTTCCTCAATGACGAGGTGTCTTCACAAAGAAGGCAGTTAAAGACGGAGACAGGAAATGGCGTCGAAAGAATATCTAAACCATGTTTTTAGTATCGTATCTAAATGTTCCACTTCTACACTTCCTGCATGACTGGGGACAGTACCACGTGCCCGAGCCTCACAAACAAGTGCAATGTCTGCTAGACGAAGTGTAGCGGTCGAAGCTGCATCTGTAGTCTGTACTCACGTGAAGGCCGATGTGAACAGGGCCGTCCGCCATCCGAAAATGAAGAAGCCGCGAGCCATTCCTAACGTCAGACGATCCTGCAGCGCTCTCTGTTGGGCAGAGGGATAGGTGAGATGGGAATAGTTTAGAGTGATAGAGATGAGACTAGTTATAGTGGTAGAGATAAGGATACATTCATACTGTACAACGATCAGTTCGCATTCATATACGGTATACCACACATATTCCACGCATGATAAAATAAACCCAACTTTCACAAATGCGTCTGATCAACCCACGCTGGTCTTCGATATGATGCAGAAATATCTTTTTCAATTCAATTGTGGAATCAAATTTTGATTTTTCAATGCACTTCGCCTTGCATGCTACTGAAAATTCGTGTTTACATTTCGATATCTAAACCATACAATCTGTTTTGCCAGCTGACCTTCAAACTTCCCTGTACACCACGACCACACCACATACCTTGGCGACAATCTGCGACTCGAATGGCGTCGCCTGGTTCCGCTCGACGAATTTGATGATGGCCAGCCTTCCGTTCAGCATGGCTCCGAGCGAGCCGCCGATCAGGAGGCCGGCAGTGGCGATGTTGGTCACCAGCTCCAGCTCGGGGGTTAGGCCGCCCATCTCACTGATGGGAGCGGGGTTGCAACGTGAGTGAGCCATGTTCACAAACCACCGGCCAAACGGATGACGATTAGTAACTGACAGTGACAAGCTAGAATTACTGGCTAGCTATGGACGGGAAACGGAATAAACGTCAAGAGTACGGTTAAGTAAACTCCACACGACACAATGATTTGATTTGACGATACTCTTCTGAAAGTGTTCCACGATGATGAAGCAAAGCGAATTATTCATATTATATATGCAATAAAACAAAAACAAAAAACATTGAACAATGTCATCAGCACAAAGCACCAAGTCCCTCACGAGGCCAGCCCTAACTTACTCGAGCGTGTACATGGCGGCCAGCCGGTCCCACCCGGTCTGCTCTTCATCGGGATTCAGGAGCTTGTTCTTCACCAGCAGATCAAAGTCCACCTCATCACACTCCGACTGCACTGTGAGCATCGTGAACCAGGAGGCGGCCAGCGCGATCCCGCAGCGCTCCTTGGTGCGGTCAGAGAGGCGCGCCGGCCACCGCACTCCCCGCCGGCCGCCACCAGCCCTGACAGGTCGACACAACTGGCGCGCCCGGCAGGCAGCCGAGCTCAGACGACTGTGCAGCTGTCGCAGCTGCGTGGAGAAGGTGGAGCTCGGAGATGTGGCCAGACGGGAGCCAGTTGATGTCCATGCTGCACGCGTGAGGGTGGTGGCAGACATGCCTTGTGGTGCTGCGGCTAAAAGCTTTTCTCGGCTCAGGAGAGCCAGATGTTTTGTAATGCATCTGTTCATTTTGATGAATCTAGGATAACTTAACTGTATCCTTGGGCTTGGCTGCTCTTATGTTTTCATTGTGTGGCATGAGTCATCTGCAAAAAAATTGGAGTGAGAAACATGCATACATTAAACTTCATTTCAAATATCAGTGTGGTTCCATTATAATTGTAACATGAAATGGGTACGGGATTATTCCACTTTTAAAACAAGCCAAATACTTCCACTTTCCAGGAGATAACAAAGGGACCTATTACAATTAGACAACAGATACCACCTAATTCATGTTTAAAGGGACCCTCCCACCTTCAAAAAAGTTAATGAATTGGCATGAAAGTGATGTCCCTTGGTTCAGAAAGAGCGAAAACGAATATCTACCAAATTTCACCGAAAAATATTCACTGGTTTTCAAGATATTAGGCTTTTACTTTTGTTTACTTTTTGGGATCTCCCCTGTTACTAGCGACTTTATTTGGAAGCAATAATTTGGCAGCCTTAAAGTGCGGCAGACGTTGCGCGCAAAGCAGCGTATACCACCACGTGTTAACGATGGTTTTAGTCTAAGATTTAAAAATCGTTAGATCTCCGCTGACGTCACAAATTCTAAGGGGGCATTCTAATGCATTAGCCCCTTAGAATCCGAAAACTGCAAGTTTGAAATTCCATATCTTCGAATTAAAGCATTTTTCGATGTTGTGAGTGCCCAAACCGGTATTTGCAGGCCATGGCCACCAATTTGGCTATCTCAACTCAAAACTAATGTTAAGGTGGGAGTGTCCCTTTAAGTGTCTGCGCCCTGCGGCCACAAGGTCAGGTGAAAATAAGAAAACAGAATGTCACCCATGATTTTATCTTATTTGCGGTGGTGGGAATCACTAAAGATCTTCGGTAGAGCTCAATTTTTATGACATTTAGTGCAGTGGCGGCGGAAGGTAATTTTGGATGGGGGTGCAAAGTTTTCTCAAGGGGCCCTCTGGAAGTTTTGGGCCCCCCTTCAGTTTTTTTTAGTGATTGTTATTGATTTGTGAAAAACGAAGATTTTGGAAAACTATCCCCATACACACAACTTCTGTAAAAGGTTTGAAATTGCAGTGTACCTACCTGTCTCAAATAATGAAAGCATAAAGAAGCAAATGCAGCTGGTTTTTTATCAGTTAATCTTCTAGTCTAGCCACCACCCGCAGCGTCTCAAACCACTTTGCTGGATCCGCAGTGGACCATTGAGGGCCCTACGAGACCGTTCCAAGAAGACCGTGTTTAGAAGCCCCTTGGAAACCGACCACATCCACCAGAGACCACTCCTCCAGAGACCTACATGACTCCCCAGACTGAATGAGCCCTCCGATCAGGGTCGGTCTCTTGAAAGTTGCTGAAAGGCTTCAGAAGGCAGTATAGGCTCGAAAGTCTTTTGAGGGCTCTCAGAAACCGGCATCGGACCCAAAAAAAGCCTGTATGGAGGCCCTCCAAAGCCGGGATGGAGGCCACAGGAGCCGATGTTTAGCCTAAAGAGCCGGTTCGGAGGACTGAATAGAGGAAAGGGGTCTCAGTGGGGCCTTCAGGGGCAAGCGTTTGAGCCCCACAAGTATGTGTGGGGTCTTAGAGGCAGGTAGACCCCTGGGGTATGTACGGGGTCCCAGGAGCTCGCGTGTGAGCCCTCAAATATTCGGCTGGCGGCTACTAGAACCAGCATGGGGATTCTTAGAAGCCGCTTAGACCCACATTTCATGGGTCATGAGTCCAAAGAGTCGATGTAGGGGCCATAAAAGCCGGTGTGGGCCCATGGCCCCATAAGTTCCGACATTGAGACTCTCAGAGGCCGGCGACGGGGCACCAAGAGCAGATAAAGTGCCTCAACAAGCCGACATGGGGCCTGAGAATCAGTGTGGAATTCCAGGAGCCTGCGTGAGCTCTCGGAGACCTTCGTATTTCGTAAGGTCCACAAAGGTCGTTGAATCCTCTGAATCTGAACTCTGCGGGGCCCTCAGAGGCCAGCAGGCAGCATGTCTCTTGGCACCTGCCTGCGTTGAGTTGAGACCCTCCGAGGACGTCGTAAGGTTCTTCAGAGGCCAGCGTTGGCCCGTGAAGCCTTCGTTAGGCCTTAGAAGCCGTCAACAGGGCCCTCAGAGGTCAGCATGGCCCCTGGAGCCTGCCTGCGTTGAGGCCCTCAGAGGCCGTCGTGGGGCCCTCAGACGGCAGTGTGGGCCTTTTGAGCTTGTGTTGGGTCTTAGAGACCATCGTGAGGGCCCAGAGAGGTCGTCGTCAGGGCCCTCAGCCCCTCAGGGACCGTCCTGGGGTCCTCAGAAGTTGTTGTGAGGACCCTTAGAAGCCTTCGAGAGGATCATCAGAGGTCGTCATGAGGGTCCTTGGCCATATTGAGGGTTTTCATGGGCCCTCAGATACCTTTGCAGGGCTCTCAGAGGCCTTGGTAAGGCCGCTAGAGGCCATCGTTGTTAGGGCCCTCAATAGACCGTTGCAGAGCCCTCAGATGCCAGCAAAGCCCCTGCAGCCTGGTTGGGTTGGGGCCCTCAGAGGCCGTCGCTGGGCCGTCTGAAGCCAAATGGGCCCTCAGACTTGAGTTGGGTATAGGGCCGTCACGAGGGCCCTCAGAGACCGTCGTAGAGGCCCTCAGAGGCCAGTGGGGCCCCTGGAAACCTGTGGGACTCTCAGCAGTCGTCATGAGGGCCCTTAGTGATCATTATAGGGCCCCAGGGGACAGAGTTCGTCGTGAGAGCCCTCAGAGAATCATCGTAAGGGCCCTCAGAGGCCGTCATAGGGGCCCTCAGAGGTCAGCGTGGCCCCTGGAGTCTCCTTGGGGCCCTGGAGTCTCTGTGGGACCCTCAGCGGTCGTCATGAGGGCCCTTAGTGGCCGTTGTAGGGCCCCAGGGGACAAAGCCGTCAGGTGGGAGCCCTCAGAGATCGTCATAAAAGGGCCCTCTGAGACCGTCATGGGGGCCCTTAGATGCCACGTGGAGTACCAAACGCGGCTCGGGACACTTCTAGCCGGTGTGGGGGCCCCAAAGACAGCATGGGGCGCACCTGGCCATATTGGACATCCCGGATGATTCCACATCAGTGTTCGTTTCCCAATCACTGGTTTTCAAGAGAAAATATATTGGATGGTGCGACGGGCCCATTGTGCGGAGTTTGGGGGTGCAAAAAGATATGTTTGCACCCCCATGTTTTTCGATGGGGGTGCAGTTGCACCCCCTGCACCCCCTATTCCGCCGCCACTGATTTAGTGACATTTATCATTTTTGAGCGGGTAAGACTAAGTAATTCTTCAGAGTCTGTTTCAACAAGTTCATTGATTTTCTGTTGATTTATTGCTCACTAAATGGCTGCATTTGTATTTAAGTTTAAACCTGGTGTGCTAGAGGCGATCATAATTCACAACCAGAAATACCTACCCAAATATTTACAACACACAATACCTTCCTGAAGCTTATTTCTTTGAATTTGAATTTGTATCTCTAATGTTAGGCAGGTAATCGTCAAAAGTGTCACGCTCTAAAACAAAATGACTTTGAAACAATTTTTTGACACTAATAGTTCAAAGTACCTCAAATAATTCCAATCGATCTCTAATATTAAATAAAAAAACCGCTTAGACACTCACTGCTGACTGCACTCACTGCACGCACGCAAAAATGATTGTGCCAGAACTGTAGCTGTTGCGCAGGAATCGAAGGACGTTAGAACTACCATATGATGCTACCATATCCAGGGAAAATTGTTGCGCTCAATGAAGTTACTTTTCTTGTCACTAGATGGCACCAGCAGTAAGCGCCTGGAACTATACTGTGCCGCATTGCATATAGTACCCTTTTGCTCAAGCGGGTGACCTCATAGCTCCTACCTACCGATTCAGACACGATGACCGCGAGCCAAATGGTAAAAAGAACGTGTTTTACGCAGGAGCGAAACGTGGAAGCGATCGCGGAGAGCATGTTTTTGTTTTCATACTGCTGTTGTTTTGCGTTGTGCCTACGTGCCGGTCTGAAAGAGCTTCATCATATGCTAGGTTCGCCAGCTTAGCCTTCCCAGGAGCCTCTAGTACACTGTACAATATGAAATACCAACTTACCAACTTAGCTGTCGTTCAGCGATCCGCCCACTCATCGCGTCAGAAAAACGCTGGCACAGTCGACTATGTACTTTATTCTCGAATAGCATCGGCCATCACAGTGATACTCGGCTGGTGCAGTCAAAAGACTGAGTATTCAGACAATAACTGCAGCTTCCAAGGCAGTCTGGTCGGCGCCGGGTCGGGTCAGGGCGCCACCAGCACCATCTCTCGGTCAAACGGCGCACCACAATGCGCCTCACAGGGTCGGCGGAACGCTTACAAACTAAATAAACTCTATCCGATCTGCTGAAAGTCCACAATGAAAAGCGCTGCCTGTCGCTGGCGGGGCGACTCGACGGCGTGTCCTGAGCCGGTGTGGTGCCCGGGCCCGCGGGCATTGCACGTCCCCACGTGTACGACTACGCTAGCTACTGCCTACCACCTCTGGCTTGACGAAACAAAAGCTCGCTGTCATTTGCTGAATAGACATCGCAACTTAAGTCCGATGGCAATTATACCGTGTACGTGGATGTCTCTACTTTGAAAAGCTGCATCTAGCGTTGCGCAAAGCGCATGGCACTTTGAGACTATCCCTTTGCCACGCAGGGCTAAGGAGGATATGATATGACACTGACCAAGCCGACTACAGGGCACGAAATTCTGCACGGCAGAAGCTAGTGGCCTTTAACACTAGAACCAGGCGGCAAGACAATTGAAAGAAAACTGACCGATAGGCATCACAATATCGTGTTTATACGACGCTTGCTTCAGTTTACGTTACAACAGCAAACTTTCAGCGGTCTACTTGCTATTGCGGCATTAATAATCACAATTGTAGCCTCACAAACGAAACTAAAGCGGTTTATCTATCACTCGTTGAAACATCCAAACATAAGCTAACCAATCAGCATTCTAGTTTGGGCACCACTGCCATAGACCACTGCAACTCAATTAGTCAATGAACTCGCTAATTTCGCGGCCGTAGTTGATCTACTCAATAAACCCGTCGTGCGCTGGGGATAGCCATCGCCGCCTCAGTAATGCCCCTCTCCCTAGCCTCTATCTACAGTGACTGACCAGCAGTCGCCTTGTCCAGTCCCTGATAAAACGTGCCACAGTGCGGCGTGCGGGCTGCCCGAAATTGGACACCAGGAGGCCGGAAATGTCCTGTGAAAATTCACATCTGTGGAACAATACTTTTTGTTGGTCACTGCCAGTCAATGGCAGTGTAAGTTAAACTATGCTGAGACTTATCTGGAATTTTTATGCAAATTATTATCTCTAAATGCCCCGAATTTGCTTACAACTCGGTCTATTCAACCCTGGAAATGACTGCTTTAATGAAATTAACCATAGTTAGAAGTCTTCGATTTTTCATCAAGCCTCAAGTTCTTCAGTAACACTAATGCCCCGTTCTTCCCAGAGGATCTGACGGACCAGCCGACCTCCAGTGTCCCCGTGCTAGGTGTCTTCCTTGCATAGGGCTGCGAGCGGGACAGGCTTCTCGCGCCGTGCCTCAAATGAAAGCCCGGTTAAGGTCATGGCTAGTGTGGTCTGAGACGAATCCCGCCTTCATACTCCGACCGGATTCGAACTGTTCCGAGCGGGACGGGCCGCAGTGGCGACGAGCATGGCGATACAGTGGCGACTATTACGGCGGTGACAGTGACGGCGACACACGACTGTCGCCGAACAGGACACTAACACATACCGGCAAAGACCGTCCTATTGAGAGACGCCCGCAGTTCCCCGTCAGAGCTTCCCTGAGAAGAGACGGGCCACGCGCGTCACACAGGACCGTTTTCTGTACACGGAGGATGCCTCTGTTGCTGCTGCTGCTGCTGTTGGAGCTGCTGCTCATGTTGTTGTTGGTGCTGCTGACGTAACCGCTGCCGCAGGTTTTCCCGCTCTACTTCTTGCTGACGGAGCAGTTCTATCATTGCCGCTTGTTGCCTGTAAAAAGGCCGAGCGACGTCAGTTCAAAACCCAACACACCGCCTCCAAAGACCCAAAGAACGATAGAGATATAACAGGTCCTCCACAACGACATGATACCCATACATATGCGATCACTTCTACTGATTTTGCGATACGATACCTCCATAACTGCTATCAACCCGTCTATGTGAAGTAGCATCCAAGCTCTACCGCAGGTGGCGTCACCAATGCGTGCCTCACCTGGCGATCAGCTCCCGGTACATCGCCATCTCCTCGACACTGGTCACCGGCGAGGGAGTCTGGGCCGCGCTGGGCGCCGGAGCGGGGGCGGGAGCGGGGGCGGGGGCGGGCGGCTGAGCTGCAGTGGTCGCCTTACTGATGGCGAATCTGCCCCGCCGCACCGGACGAGAGCCGCCCTCTGGCGATACTGAGGAACAGAAAAAGAGGTGAGATAAAACTCTGTGGTAAAAAGTTTTGACCAGCCATAAGCCAAAGCTTCGACATGTTTTGTGCTTTAATTTAAACACGCTTCAGACGCTTATTTCTATGCCATAAACCATACAAATAATGATCCTGCCCAATTAGTGCGCAGTCTCGCATATCTCCAATCTAGCCCAACCGTTCACCTACCGTCACTGGCGGTTCCATTCACCGCCGGTGTCGCCGCCTGGACGTCCATCTGGTTGACACTGGGCTGTGCCCGGACTGTCTCCGGTGGCGGACCGCTGGGGGTCGCCACAGGCTGGGCGCCGACAGCCAACGGCTTGGAGGCATCATCCAGGGGCGTAGTTGTCTGCCGGACAAAATACGACGTTAAGCTAGTGTCCGAAAAAGAATACGAAAGCGGAGGGGAATACGGGAGACATAGAACCGGAAGAAGTTTGAGCAAAGTTATAAAATCGTAACGATTGAACACAATTTCTCTAAACTAACGACATGTAGCAGTCCTATAAATAATAACCAGCCTTATTCACGCATAAAATAACGCCCTATGAACACAGACATTCCGTTCTCCTCTCACCCCTACCTGTACGGCAGTGGAGGCGGTGCCGGCGGCGGCGCTGGCCACTGCCGCACCGCCCGGCGGTTTCACCCGCAGCTTATCCAGCTTCTTGGCCAGGTCGGTGAGGTGCAGCGGCACCTGTTTCCGCCGTGCCTCGCTCCCGGTGGCGGAGGCGGCGTCCGTACCGCTGGCTGATCGGGAGAGGTCGGCCGGTGAGCCGGTGGCAGAGACCCCGGTACCGGCCGGCTGGAGAGGCACGGTCTGCTGGGAAGGGGACGGTGTCCCGCCGCCGCCGTCCGCGCCCGAGCGCTGAGTCTGTGTGGTGGAAGGGGAGGTTAGGTATGGCTTAGATGGGGACGCAGGGGACGATTGGGTGATCTGTTCGTGGGTATGCGATGGGGTGGGGTGGGGAGAGGGGAGTTTGAAAATAGACACGAGCCACAATGCAATCTGGAACGCGCAACAACAGTCTAGTGACACTAATCTAGAAATGAGCCTCAGAAGCAAACAAGTTCAATATTGTTCAGCATCAGCCTCCATGCAAAAATATCCCCTAAATGTGGATATGTGGAATAGCTGTTGACCTGAAAATATCCTACAGGAAAAATGAAGTCCAAAAACACATCGTAAGAAAAAAAAACTGCACTAAGTCGGCGGTCTCAACCATTAAAGCAGTACCAACGAAAGCTATGTGTTGATCTGAGCTATCACGTTTGAAGACTGACCACCTATCATCGTTCTGTAAGCTATTTATGTTCCTGGGAACCAGGAACGTAAATAGCTTACTTCAAAGCACGAGCAATGACGGCATGCCCTCAGCTTGTGCTCACCGCAGGCATGCTTAACAACAGCTTATGAACACATAAACGTGGGTGTAGCAATGATAACCATACATTTCTGCTTTTAAACGAAACTCCTCCGAAGTGACGGCAACTGGTCAAGTGGCATGCGGCAGGTGGTAAAATTATCATCAAACCCAAAACCTGGTGAACAATACATCGAAATACTTATAATCAATCGGTCAACGTGTGGTGCAAATCTACGGATACGCTGAAAGTGACGAAATCGGTCACAGCTGCAGCGGTCGTGAACAGAAAACTCAGTGACCCAACATAAAACTCGGGTCTCATGATGAGACTGTCAGCCCCGGTAGATCTCTGGGCTGCAGTCACTGTCTCATGCTCTCTGCTCTCTCCGGGCGGTGGGAATATACACTCGACCACTCACGGCGGCCGGGGCGGGGGCGGCCAGGTCGCCGCAGTGCCAGCTCTGGCGGCGAGCCGCCTCAATGGCGGCGGCGGAAGGCAGCAGCATGTTCTGAGCCCGCGGCCGGGCAGCAGTCCGTTCGTTAGTTACGCACCCGTTGTGGTTTATCACGGGACAACGTGTATATACGTGCATAAGAGAAACGGAACGAAGGACCAGACCAAAACCAGACGACAACCGCATGTTCTAAGCCACAGGCTCCATAAATAGAGACCCCACACGACAAACAAACCAGAATAGCTGAGCACCGTAAATAAATCGTCAAAAGGGCACTTAAAAACCACAGAATCAGGACCCAAATATAAGAGAAAGGGACAACAGGTTGCCAGCACTGGACTCGATGCTGGACAAATTGCCTCCCCTAAAAAGAGGGAAGAGAAAATGACAACCTTGAATGCCTAGCTAAAATATGCATTGTGATCTATATTTGATTCCATTTTATGGACAGTTTTGCCCCGAATCACAATATCGCTAGCCGCATTGACTTCGCATAATCAAAGGTACTGCAAAAACAAAATTCGATCCCACTTCACAACAGCCTGAGCACCAGCAACATCTCAAAGTCAGAATGCCTCCTTAGCACCCAAGAGCCACAAAGAAGACATCTACAAATTTCCCGCTGTCGGGATTCGAACTCGCACTCACTGGAGTGGGTCCGGCGCCGGTGGCGGTCAGCCGGCGCGCGGTGGGCGCCCCCTCTGACGGTGTCTGCGTCCCGCTGCTCGCCGCGGCCGCCGCCTCGCCCGGCTGAGAGGTGAGGCGGTTCAGCTGCTTAGCCAGCTGAGCCAGGTTGCCCATGCTGAGGAGGGAAACGAGGGGTGGTAAGGCATAGCCAGTGAAAGAATGATGAGCTAGACGACCGAAAATGTATGTTTGTAGGTGACGTAAATGTGTATCTGTATTTGTATCTATCTGATGCATCTGTTCCGCGCTGGACGATCTTTACCTCGCTTCACAAGCACATCTGCACACAACTGATACGATTCAATAAAACGTCCATTGCAGCCTGAAACGGCGAAAACTATCGGCATTGCTATGCGAAGTCTCAGAAATGTCAGAAGCCAGTCCAGCATTACTTATCCAGCTCCACCAGCCGACCCACCTTGCATCTATCGGTGTCGTAGGCTGCTCCTGCGGCCCCGCGGCGGTCCGTCTCTCCTCAGGCTCCTCTGCTGCCGGCAGGGGCTGGCCGCCAGTCACAGGTCGCGAAGGCGCCGGGGGTCTGCCCTCCTGGGCCACAGTACTCGCTCTGTGAGCTTCTGAGATTGTAGCACCGGCGGGATGCGAGGGAACTTCGCCGGGACTGAGCGTAGGCGTTGGATGTGAGGAGTCCACAACACCAGTCGGACTTAGGGTGCCGGGACTCGGTACAGAAGGACTGAGAGTTCCCGGACTCGTCCCACCGGCAGCCAGTGGGGGAGTAAGTCCGGTAGGAGCCGTGAGGGAGGCAGACACTGGGGTAGTCGCTGACGGAGCTGCTGCAGGTCCTGATGCCGGTCCGACAGCAGCAGTTGACGATATGAGAGGCGGGGTTGAAGAAGTCGACGTTGAGACGTGTGACGACGGTCTTGCGAGAGATGTCGGAACGCCCGATCCACTCGCCACTGCAGACTGACTATCTGAGGCCGAAGTCACGGCCGTAATCGATGCCAACGAAGAGTCACTTGAAGACGGGCAGATCGGATTCAGAATCGTCGGCGTTACGGCGAACCGTACATGCCTCTGAGCGGTCGGTGTCGTCACAGTTGCCCCGCTCTTCGCCTGCGAGGCCCGCGAGCCGGGGCTGATCGAGAGAGACGGAGGACGCGCCTGGCCATCAGACTTCTGAGAGGATGCCGCGGGAACAGCGATCGGCGCTGTCGCAGTTCCATCGCTTCCAGCTGTCTCCGGCGCTACTGAGGATCCCACCGGTACCGAGGTTGAGCCTTGCCCCACCGGTAGTCCCGCTGCTGAGGTGAGACCGGCGGTCTCCCCTACACCCGCCGCTGGGACAGGTGACGTGCTCAGAGCGGGTGTCGCTGACGGGCTGAGCGCAGTCGGTGCGGGTTCCTGGGGAGAGTGCAGAGCGCTGGATACTGGCGGGGGAGAGAGCGGCTCGGGGCTGATCAGCGCCACCTGAGGACTCGGGGAGACAGAGGTAGTGGCCGAGCCGGCAGACGTCAGGATATTCAGCGGCTGAAACAGGGGGAGAGAGGCGGTCAGTTGGGACAGTGGGCTGAGAACAAAAGAGGGTATATCATAAGCAAGCAAATTGATCCAATACACGGCCATCATTGGCGCGCAATGACTGGACTGGATGAAATGGCTGTGACTGGAAAGGGAAAGGATTGGACAAGAAAGACTCAACTTGCCGAGCAGCCTCATCAAACCATGACTTGTGCAGCATTGCTTGCATAACTTACATAACTTACATTTGAACAGTTCAAAGCGAAAGTAAGCGCCCTACGCTTCCTAGCACTCGATATCTGCCATCACCCCACGCCATCAAGCCCAACAGGTCCCAAGTTCCAAAGCGATGACTCTCCCAGTCCCGGATCATCATTTACCGTCTGCGCCCTGACCTGTTCACTGGCCGGCGACAGCAGACACGGGGACGGCATCGGGGACGCCTTGCTTTCCACCACCGAGCTGACGATGAACCGGGAGCGGCGCCCCGTCGCCTGAACACAGACGCGCACACACACACAGTGGTCAGTCCAGGGGGAGGGGGTACCTAATGCTATAGGGGAGTAACGTGGGGAGATGAAGAAATAAAAATAATTGTGTACTGATAGAGAGTTGATACCAGATTTGTATGCAGCGCAAACCAAGCTGCTCATAGAGTTCTAAACAGTAACACAGAGTGACTCGTCAGAATTATTAAAACATAAGAGAGCAAAATGGCAATGTAAAGAAAAGGATTTGAAGAGAAAAAGTAGCGTTGAAAGATTGCATGGCCAGATACGTGTTGAATGAACCCACGATATGACTAAGAGATTACGTGGGCGACTAAAATTGTCTAACGAATGCATTCCCTCAGGAATGGAGTGCATGCCCGAGGAAAAATGTTCACCGGAACCCGTCTGTTGCAATTGAACACCACCCCTGAACGTCCTGGGAAAAATAACTACCGTTAGCACGTCACAAAACTCCAATGACACTACACACTAGCAATTAATCTAACTAGGTAACCTACAAACATATAACAAAATAAAGATTATTGTAAGGCACAACTGCGGGGCTAACACTGAACCAAGTCACATAAACACTATGACGACGGCTAACGTGCTTTTCTAATGTTGAATACTGGACAAAAGGGGGAGAGGGGTCGCCCAATCTACGCAACTTCTGCGCACAACAGTGACGCATCATCAAACAGGGCACATTCAACCAATAAAGCAGCTCAAAGTCAATGGTTCGGCCGCTCAGTAGCGCTTGGAAAACACCAACCCAAACGCTTCCCAGCGAACGAACGAAGCAAATAAACTAAACCAAACTGAAGGAGCTAGCGACGGAGAGGCAGCGGCAAGCGGTTCAACCGATCACAGTGCGTTGGTCAGGACAGACTCAGCGGGGCAGGCAGGGCGGGCGGAGCAGGCGGGGAGGCCGTGCGGCGGACAGCCGCCACGGCCAAGGACGTACCTGGACGGGAGGCGTGCTCGCGGCTGGCGTGCCTACGCCCGGCGCAGCCAGCGGTGAAGCGGCGCCGACGGCGGAGACGGGGGCAGCGCAGGATGTGCCGGACACGGACGCTGACGCCAGCGGAGAGGATGCTACAGATGATGCTGTTGTAGTGGGGGAAGACGTGGCGGAGGATGAGAGGGAGAACATCGGACGTGATGAGATAGTTGGAGATGTAGGTGCCGCGGTAAGTGAGCTCAGTGTAGAAGCCGTTGATGGAGCCAACCCTAGCGTCACCCCGCTGGCGGTGACCGAGGCAGCTAAGGCAGCAGTAACTGCGGTGGCGCCAGTGGTACCAATGACTGAAGCGGTGGGGGAGTGAGCAGCCACCCCCACAGGGGCGGTTCTATCCGGCTCACGACCGCTCAGAAGCGGCACAGGCGCTGCCAGCACCGGCGACGGTGTGGTATAGGACACCCGCCCACCGCCGCAGCTCACTGCAGGGAGCAGCGAGACGGGCGGCACTGACGAGACCGCACCACCAGTGAGGACAGCGGAGATAGGCGTGATACCCGGCATCACCGAGATCGAGCTGACCGGTATGTTCGTAGCGTCAGACATGGATCCCGCCAGGGTGACGCCTGCAGTAGTCAGCGTTTTCGACTGAGAGACACCGCCGTAATGCGCCCCGAACACTGCCGTTACATCAATGGGTGGCGACCCGGGCGAGCCGGGTATGACAGCGCCGGACAGGAGCGGCGTCACGGCCGGCGCGGCCGCGCTGGTCTGGTGGATCACATCAGCCACATGTGCCACGGGCGCCACGGCAGAGACGACTGTAGAGAGGAGCTCCGGCGGTAGCGCGGCCACGGCGGTGGTCAGAGCGCCCGAATGGGGTGAGCCGCCGGCCAGGACCGCCCCCGCCGGCGCGGCGCGAGACGCAGAGGCAGCAGAAGCCGCCGCGGCCGTACAGGCAGCCACAATCGCAGCGGCGCTCGCGGTGGGAAAAGGAGTGGGAGACGTCGCGCGGCCGGTGACCATCTGCGACTGTGGGCTCACACTACCGACAGGAGCAGCGGACACAGCCGCGGCGGCGGCGGGGGCGGCGGTGCCGAGGACGGGGGCCAGGAGAGCGGCGGCCGCCTGGCTCTGGCGCAGCAGCGCGGCCGCCTGCTGCGTGGTCAGAGTGACGATCTGGAGGCCGTGCGGCGCGCGCACCAGCACCGGCACGGCCCGCTCGGCTACCTGGCCTGAGGGCGGCGGCGGCGGCGCCAGCTCGGTGGGCCGCGGCCGCGGCGAGCCTCCCGCGCTGCTGCCGCTGCCGCTCACCGGAGTCGATACGTCGCCGGCCGGGTCCTCCGCCGACTGCCGGCACGCGGACAGACAGCGCCGCTGAGCAGCGACCGGGCAGACCCGCGGAGGGGGCGGAAGGGTTCGACAGAGACGTCGGGGCGGTAACGATCAGTACAGGGTCCTAGACGGAGTGGTGGTACTTCGCAAACGTTAGCAGTTTTGATAGCCGTGAATCAGCCAGCCTGACATGCGCTCGTCCTACTACAAGGTAACGCAACCGTCTCTTATAAACCATCAAATAACGTCACCGAACAAACTTCACACAAACCCTCTCCAGTCTCCCGAAAGAAGCCAGCCTCCGCGAAACCCCGTACCTGCGCCGGGTGCGTGTCCTCATCGGCGTGGGGTGGCGGAGGCGGCTGGTTCGCGCCGGTCGATCGCAGCTCCCGCTGCCGGCGAACGACCGCGCGCAGCTGCTCCTCAAAGTACTGGGCGTCATCCTTTGGCAGCAGCTGAGCCTCCGTCTGGGGACGAGGAAAAATTCCGTCAAAACAAACAACGACATAATATTTAGGGCATAGGACGATATAGGACGAAGAGTCAATAGACATACATAAGAGTGGCAAGTATGTTTGCGTAAGTAGCAAGTAATTCATTTCAGCTACCAGGAATCCCACTTGACGCCTGCAATGACACTAATTCCAGCCAAAAGTTTTAGATCGAGCTGGTGGCCTGCTTCCATCGCATACTGACCATTTTGTGGGAGATGGCTGTGACGTCCGCCTCGTGGAGGTCGAATTTGAACGTGATGGCCTGCGACTGGTTGGTCTCCAGCAGACAGGAGACCACGGGACCGTTGTCGCTGTTCTTCACCTGTCCCGAGGCATGGGTGCCGTCAGTTCGATGCAGTAGATCATCGCAGTAGATCAACAAGATATGCAGTCATGGACGTACGATATTGACATAAACAATTGTAGTTGAAAATGAGCAAAAAAACAATTCTGAAGATAACAGGCGTGTCCTAACCCTAATGTGTTTATGAAATCGTCATTCAACTCAACAACTGATTTTTAGCTGCGTGGACGACAAATAGACATCATAGTTCGCAACACACCACTGATGTGACTCAGGACGGCTAAAGGGATAAGTGACCACATAGAGGAATGCGAAGCTATGCAGGAAGTGACCAGGAGTGGTATAAGATTCTCCACTCACCTCCAGTACGGTCAGCCGCGGCAGCCGCTCGCACGTTTTTCGCCGTCGCGCACGATTCTTCTTCTCCTTCCGCTCACCGAGGGCCGAGTCGCTCTCTGCTCCGGTGGCAGAGTCCGAGTGAGCCTGGCGACAGACGAGGGGAGGGTAAGAGACGACGACAAAGGACAGACGGGGAGGGTAAGGGACGACATAGAGACGACTTGTCCGTCACTGACCGGACTGGCTACCAAAACAGACGTGAGCAAACGGAGACTTTGCGAACTCCGCTACCGGTGATACAATTGATGAATAATAGCGTTCCAAGACATTTTGAAAACCTAATTGAACCATGCCCGAATATTCTGGGAAGAACGCACTCATGTTTCACCCTAGTCTCCCCACGCAATAACTTTGGTTATTCGACCACACTGTTGGAGCTAATAGTGTGTGATGAATAATGATACTGCGTAAATCATTCGCCCACGCACCCCCATCCAGGCACAATTCTACCGCATTCCACCCACCACTACCCCGGAGCCGCCCGTACCTCGGTCTGGCCGTGCTGCGGCTGGGCGCCCGCCGCCGGTTCGGTCGGCGCCGCCGGCGGTGGCAGCTCGGCCTGTCTCGTCTCCGCCGGCGCCGTCTCCGTCCCAACCGGCTGGTGAGAGGGCTGGGTCTGAGTCGCCGCCACCGTCACCGTTACCGGCGCCGCGGCGGCCACAGAGGCGAGCGGCGCTCCCGGGGCGGCAGAGAGGACCGCGGTCGCCGTGTGAACGTGCGCGGCCGCCGGCTGGGCGGACTGAGAGCTGCTGATGACCGGCAGAGAGGCCGACAGGTGCAGCGGGACTGGTGCGGGGGCGGCGGCTGTCGGGACTAAGGACGCGCCGGGACCGGGCGCTGCGCCCGGCGGCCCGGCAGCCGGCGCCGACTGGGTCTGGGGCACCTGGTCGCGCCGCCTCTCCTCTCGGGCTCGCACCAAACTCTGGATCACGTTGGTGATCATCTTCGCTAGCGGACGGCAGTTCTCCTCGGCCAGGAGACCCGACATCAACTGAAATAGGAGGAGGAGCATGGTTTAAGCAAAGGGTAGCAAAAGGCTGCTGTTTGAATAATGGATAATGATAAAACATCATCCGATGCCAGCTATGAAGAGAAAATATGAAACGATTGAGTATCTACCCATTATTCATCATGTAAAAGCAGCAAAAGGAAATTGACAAGTTTTTGCTTGATAACGGATAGAACAGAGCTGCATAACTGCACTTTCTACGACTGATCCCGAGCACCACCTACCATCTGTTTGGCCGTCTCCTCGGGGTTATCCTTGTTCAGCACGTAATTGAACTGGATCGCCTCGTTCTCCTTGTGTGTATCCTTGCGTTTCTTGGCGTCCAGCACCCGCAGCTGCAGGTGGATGACCGAGCTGCCAGAGTTCATAGCCTCCTCTCGGTTCGCCACCTCCAGTCGCATCCCGCAGTCCTCGGCGAAAAACTCGTGGTTCAGCAGCTGCTTGACGGTGGGCCGCTCCTTGCTGTTTAGTCGCGTGCACCATTCGATCAGGTCACGCGTCTGCGGGTCGTCGATCTTGTCGAAGCTGGATGGTTTGATGCCCTGTGGGTATGGTCTTGTAGGTCAGAGATTGGTACGGGGTGGGGTAAGTTAGGGAGTGGGTTCCAGAAAATGATGCATGTCTGCGATTCAGCGTTTGTACATTTGTGCAGGCAGAAACACAGCCGAGAGAAAAGCTGAGAGCATTTCTGCCGAGCCAAAAGCTGAGGAAAAAAATCCATCACCATTGTCTAAAGGCCTGGCTACACTATGCGTTTTCTGCGTGCGTTTTTGCAGGTTTGCGTGTTTTGCGTAATATCGTTCTAGGAAAAAAGTTATAAACAATATAATTTTTACTTCGGTTATAAACAAAACCTAATATAACTCTTATGTAACTAAAATTTAAGGTGAAAAACATCACAAAAACGTAATATCGTTCTTTTTTTCTAGAACGATATCACGCAAAACACGCAAACACGCAAAAAACGCACGAAGAAAACGCATAGTGTAGCCAGGCCTTAACGCCCGCCCAGCAAACGTGAAAAGATCAGAAATAGGAATCGTAGAATAAGCGTCGAAGTAATGAAAAGATGAAGCCAGAACCAACCCAGCATTGAGCAGTCATCACTAGACCATTCAACTGATCACCATGTCTCTCCAACAGCACGATCGGACCCTGTACAGCACCCGCTCCCCCCGGCTCACCGTGATGACCTTCTTGTAGATCTGTGCCGGGCCGGTGCACTCGGAGTACGGGTACTCGGACGTCACCATCTCCAGCATGCACATGCCGAAGGCGTACACGTCCACGGCCTCGTCATAGTGCTCCTCGTACACCTCGGGCGCCATGAACTCGGGCGTGCCTAGCGGTCACGTGGCAACCAGTGGCCCGCTCAGATAGCCGTCACGTGATCGACCGGCCGAGGTCAGTAGAGGTGCAAACGATAAATCCATTTTTAGATTCAGGAAAAATGAAAGCTGAAGCTTTGAGGCTACTCGTTCGAATCTTTAAATATTGAGCACGAAAAACGTCTATGCATTCCGCTGCTGCTGTAGCGGTGGTAGCAAATAGTCGATAATTTGCATCACGTCGTCGCCGTCATTTGCACCTCTACCGATCAGGGCCGGCGACGGGCGGGCAGCGTCGGCACACGTCAGACAGGGGCGCCGGACGGGGGCTATTTTCAGAAACACAAGCGGTGCCACCAGCCAGCCGGTCACCGCGACCCACCGAGGCCCAACGTCAGCCCCCCAGCCAGAGTGACCGGAAGCAATCAGTGGATATCATGCACATGATGCGCGTGGGGCGAAACTCGACAGAAAGACACAAGCGCCAATGTAGAGATGAAAAGTAGCTCCCTGAAAGTTCAAACATGCATGTGTTGTCCAAGTCTCATACATAATAACATTATACACAAACGGCGAGAAAGTTACACCATAACGGACTCTGAAGGTACGAGTAGGTAATGGGAGAGTGACCGCAAAACTAACACTGGGGAGAGGACTTTGTGTATTGTACGGTGGATTGGTGTTAACTGTTACGTTTCACCGATCTCCGTAGGCCCTGACCGTACATATTACCGTAGCTGCGTTTATGATACGGGCCCCACCATACGGCTGCGTCTGCGCATGCGGGAGCCGGGAGGGTAGGCTGACCCGCATATTGCCTGAGGCTCAATGTGGACGAGCGTGTCGTGTGGACTGGTCTGTGGCAGTGACTGACTGGCGAGCGACCAATACAGGTTGACCTCTGAGCACGAGTGGTCTCTACACTGGCGACGAGGATTTGAACCGGCGCGGCGGGGCGACTTCTACGGCCATGGATGGGGCAGCGTCGGCCACCCTGCAGCTGGAGCCCTTCAACCCGGCGACGGACTCCTGGAGCCAGTGGGAGGAGCGTCTGCACTACTTCATCGAATGTAACGGCATTCAAGGCGAGAGCAGGAAACGCGCCACGCTGTTGACGGTATGTGGGAAAGAGGCCTTTTCGCTTATTTGTAGCTTGATAGCACCGTCTAAGACGTCTGAGAAGTCGTTTGATGAGCTTTTGCAAGTAATAAGGGAGCACAAAGAACCCAAACCATCTGTCATTGTGTCGCGATTCAAGTTCAACTCGTGTCAACGAACGGCAGGCCAATCCGTTGCTGATTTTGTTTCTGTGCTAAGGAAGGCTACCGAGCACTGCTGTTTTGGAGCCACGCTTGATGACAGACTCACTGAGCAGTTTGTTTGCGGCATCAGGGATCCTCGGATGCAGCGGCGGTTGCTGTCAGAATCCAGCCTGGACTTCAGCTCAGCACAGAGGATCTGCCTGGCGATAGAGGCTTCCAGCAGAGACGCTCACCTGATCTCCGGCACACCGGGTACGGTGCCGGCAGAGGTATGTGAGGTAAGGGCGCAAGGCCTGCCGTCAGGTCAGTCAGCTCGTCCAGGGGCTCGCTGTTGGCGTTGTGGCGGGAGGAGCCACTCACCTGATGTGTGTCGTTTTGCGTCGTACAAGTGTCACAACTGTTCGAAAGCTGGACATTTGGCTAAAATGTGCACAGTCAGAAAGACGACAGTCAGACCTCGGAGGCAGCAGGGCAGAGCAAACGCCGTTGAAGCAGATGAAGAATGGGAGGCGGACTACACGACAGATGTTGGCCGTGCAGAACAGGATGAAGAGATCTGCAGAACGGAAGCGGTCCATCGGGTGAGTGTACCTCCCATTTCTTGTCTGGTTCAGTTTCAAGGTACAGATGTAGATATGGAGATTGACACTGGTTCTAGCGTATCGTTGATTGGGCAGGATACGTTTGAACAGTTGAACAGAAAGCCTAAACTCAAAATGTGCTCATCTCGTTTGAAAACGTATACGGGTCAGTTCATACCATTGTTGGGAGAGTTTCAAACAGACGTGTGGTATGAAGGCAAACAGCACCGTGCCCTGACAGTTGTGGTGGTAAAAGATGCCAGGACTAACCTTCTAGGACGAGACTGGCTGGAGCACATCAACCTCAACTGGCGGGCCGTGCACGCCATTCGAACCAGTTCCTTGCAGGGCCTGAAGGAGAAGTATCGGCGCCTCTTTGAGCCGGGCCTGGGAGAGCTGAAGGGGGTAAAGGTACGTCTGGACATTGACCGTACTGTACCACCGAGGTTTTGCAAGGCCCGCTCTCTGCCCTATGTTTTCAAGGAGAAGGTGGAGGCCCAGCTCCAGAAGGACATCGACAGCGGCGTCCTGGAGGAAGTGCAGAACAGCAGCTGGGCGGCGCCCATTGTTCCGGTGCTGAAGAAAGACGGGAATGTCCGAGTCTGCGGCAACTTTAAGTTGACGGCCAACCGAGCGGTGAGGTTGGACAGATATCCATTGCCACAGGTCCCGGATCTGTTTGCAACGCTAGCGGGAGGTACCGTATTCTCGAAAATTGATCTGGCTTCGGCCTACAATCAGTTAGTTCTTCACGAGGACTCTCGAGACATCATGACCATCAACACCTCACGAGGTCTTCTCAGATTTTCGAGGCTCCCGTTCGGCATCAACAGTTCTGTGGGTATATTTCAGAGAGAGATTGAAAAGGTTCTCCAGGGCATACCCAACGTCATTGTTTTCCTGGATGACGTTCTGGTGAGTGGAAAGACACAGGCCGAACACCTGACCACGCTGGAGAAGGTGTTTTCTAGGCTTGAAGACGCGGGTCTAAAAGCCAGAGCAGATAAGTGTAAGTTTTTGGTTCAGCAGGTTGAGTACCTGGGTCACGTGGTCAACAGGCATGGAATTTCCCCGACTTCTGAGAAAACTGAAGCGATCAGGTCAGTGCCTGAACCTAGGAACGTGTCGGAGCTGAAGAGCTTTCTTGGGTTGTTGACTTACTACTCCAGGTACTTACCAGCGCGCGCTCAGAGGCTGGCTGCGCTGTACGACCTTCTCAAGAAGGACAAGGACTGGATATGGGGACCAGAACAGCGGAAAAGCTTCCACTGGGCCCAGAGTGTCCTTACCTCGGACTCTGTTCTAGCTCACTTCGATGCGGCGAAGGAGCAAGTGCTGGTCTGTGACGCATCGTCTCGAGGCATTGGAGCGGTACTGGCTCAGCGTGAAGCGGATGGAGCTGAGCGTCCTGTCGGGTACGTGTCAAGGAGTCTGACCTCTTCAGAGCAGAAGTATTCTCAGTTGGAGAGGGAAGCTCTCGCGATCGTTTTCGCGGTAGAAAAGTTCAATCAATACTTGCTGGGTAATAAGTTCATACTGGTCACGGATCACAAGCCGCTGGTAGTTTTGTTTGGAGAAAACAAAGACATTCCGGCTATGGCGTCTGCTCGCATTCGTAGGTGGGCATTGAAGTTGTCTGCGTACCAGTATGCCATCCAATTTAGGCGCACGGAAGACATGGGTAACGCGGACGCCCTCAGCAGGCTTCCCCTGCCAGTTGCAGATGGCTCTGGCCAGGAAGATCTGGTGCTGCTGATTGAGGATGCTGTATTTGATGCTAAGCAAGTAGCACGTTTGACAGCTCGTGACCCCGTTCTTTCCAGAGTAATGAACCTGGTGCAGAAGGGCGGGTGGCCCGAGATAGCTGACCCGGCATTGAAACCGTTTTCAGAGAAACGCTGGGAGCTGTCTGTGTGTACAGGCGTGCTGCTGTGGGGGCACAGGGTCGTGATACCACAGAAGGGCCGCCAGTCTGTGATTTCAGAGCTGCATTCTGCCCATCCAGGGATCGGCCGGATGAAATCACTGGCAAGGAGCTGCGTCTGGTGGCCCCAGATTGACGGTGACCTGGAAATGGCGGTCAGACGATGTTCTGCGTGTCAGGAGAGTCGTCCGACCCCTCATCGGGCTGACCTGAGTATGTGGCCCTGGCCGAGACGCCCATGGTCAAGGGTTCATGTGGATTTTGCGGAACCAATCAAAGGCAAGTACATTTTTGTGGTAGTGGACGCCTATTCAAAGTGGGTTGAGGCTGAGCCGTGCTCAAGTGTGAGTTCGCAAGCAGCCATGGTCAAATTGCGACGTATGTTTGCAAGATGGGGCTTGCCTGACATGCTCTGCTCTGATAATGCTACAACGTTTACCTCACAGGATTTTCAGCAGTTCCTGGCGGCTAATGGGGTTCAACATAGAACGATAGAGCCACGTCACAGTCAAGGCAACGGGCTAGCAGAGCGGGCAGTTCGTGACGTTAAGCAGGCTCTTAAGCGCAGTGGAGATGGGAACTGGGAGACTGTGTTGGCTGAGTGGTTGCTGTATCAGAGGAAAATCCCTCACTCAACTACGTCTGTGTCACCCTCAGAGCTGATGCTGGGACGAGTGATCCGGAGCCGGCTAGACCTTCTTCATCCTGACCTGCAGAGCCGTGTTCAGCGGAAGCAGCTGCAGCAGAAGCTGAATCATGACCCTGCTGTACCCCGAGTGTTACAGCTGAACATCGGGGATGCGATATATGCTCGCAATTATGGTGTGGGACCCACGTGGATATCAGGTGTAGTTGTGGGTATAGATGGATCGCAGTCATATGTGGTCAAATTAGAGGATGGTAGGATCTGGCGTCGTCATCAGGATCAGTTGATGCGGAAAACTGACGCAAACTATCCCGTCACAGGACCTGCTGCTGATGTAGCTGCTCACGAGCAGCTCAGCCCGTCGGAGCAGCTGACGGCCGCGCCGGCTGCCGAGGCCGTCTGCACTGGTCTGCCCACCGTACCGGAGACCGGTGGCCCTGACACCGGTGGCTCGCTGACGGCTGCGGCGACGCAGCCGACGGGAGGGTCCTCGACGGGGCCCGGCACGAAGGATCTGCCCGCGATGCCTCTGCCATCTGAGCCAGCTCTTCCGAAGTCTGTGCCTGCATCGGCTACGGAGATGGCTCCGCGAAGATCATCTCGCGTGCGGAAACAAACTGAGTTTTTCCAGGCGTAACGTGTGTTTTCGTTATCTAAACTTATTTGTTAAAGGGAGGAGAGTGTATTGTACGGTGGATTGGTGTTAACTGTTACGTTTCACCGATCTCCGTAGGCCCTGACCGTACATATTACCGTAGCTGCGTTTATGATACGGGCCCCACCATACGGCTGCGTCTGCGCATGCGGGAGCCGGGAGGGTAGGCTGACCCGCATATTGCCTGAGGCTCAATGTGGACGAGCGTGTCGTGTGGACTGGTCTGTGGCAGTGACTGACTGGCGAGCGACCAATACAGGTTGACCTCTGAGCACGAGTGGTCTCTACACTTTGGAACGCGTCCAGGGAATACTTGAACAGCGTCCCAAACTCGCCGTCTTAAATGCGCACTTGAGCAGTGTCTGGGACCCTAAGCAAACATCCGAGGAACCGGTACAGGAAAAAGGAAATGTTAATAGATCCAAGGGACGGGGCTTACCAAACTACTCAGATTTACTTCATATGTATGCGAGGCTTGAGCAAAAGCGGTAGAACATGCTCAGTGATGCCTATCCAAATACCTCGGGCATATCACACTATTTATAAAACGACCAGCACGATTCCGTGTCTGGCTAATTGCTGATTAAATTCCTCCAGCATGACGCAACAGCCTTTTCTAGAACACGCAGCCAGCAGGCGACCGTGCAAATGATTCCATTTAATAGCCGCAGTCTACCACGAACCCCAACGATATGACTCTGGGCGGTACATTTTCCATCTGGTACGCCCACCCGCCCCTGACTTCGAGCCAGTCCAGAGACCCGGCAGTAACTGTGATATTAGCTCTCCGCCGCCCAAGGGCCACCGGCGCCGGGCCAGGCGATCCGGTGGGTTGTAATTACACCAGCTGAGCAGCTGTATTGGGATCGGCCGATCGACTCCGGATCGTCCGTGAGCCCAGAGACCTACCTCCCCTTAAACCCCTCCCCGTTAGTCTGGTCTGGTCTGGTCCGGTCCGCGCCGGGGCGGGCCGGCTGCCGAGACGCGGCTCAATGTTCGATGTTCACTGCCCGGTGTTGGTTGGTGGCCGCCAGCACCTCAACCCCGGGGTAAGGGGAGAGGGAACGGACACAGAGCAGGATTCATCTGGACCACTCTCTCCCTCACAAGTTGGTCACGTCAGATCAATTCGGAGTCGGACCGAAACCGGCTAGATGAGCCAGCTGTGTTGGGGAATAGATCAAGAAGAGTCGATAAATCAATACAAATCGGAACGGATGGCACAGGAAACGGAGATGAAGGAAACTGAACAAAGTATTCAACTCGAGATTCAATCAAAACACTTTAACGCTACAGATCGATAAATCATACAGTAACTTACCGATAACAGACTTGGCAAAGGATCTGTTCTTGAGCGTGGCCAGCCCGAGGTCGCCGACCTTGACCTGACCCGTGGTGCCCGAGATGAAGATGTTGTCACACTTGAGGTCACGGTGAATGATGGGAGGGTTGCGCGAGTGCAGAAACTGCAGTCCGCGCAGGATTTGACGGCACCACTGCTTGATGATCTTCAGGGACACCCTCTTCTGGCCGAAGTTCTTCAGATATCTGTCCCCAAATCGTTCATAAAAATCAGTTGTCACAAGATCACAAGAAATTGAAAATTTTGCGTTGGCCCGTCGGAGGCGAAGAATCAAATGGACTGAGACTGAGAATTACTCGTATTATCCATAAAACATCGCATTGTGAAAGGGTTTAGAAAAGGCAGCACATTGGAAAATAGAACTGAACATAATCAGCTCGCATATGAGCTCGTTTCGAAAATCGTTTTTCGCCCACGCCTACTCATACCCAGATCACTGCTGCCAACGCACAGTAAGTCGCACCACGCACAGCCCTGACTCACGTTCTGAGGGTTCCGGAGGTCATCAGCTCGGTAACGAGTACGATACAGCTGCGTTTCGGCTTGTCCACCTCCCAGAAGTCGTAGAACCGGACGATGTTGGGGTGCGTGAGGCCCTTCATCAGGCCGGCCTCCTCTCGGAACCGGTCCCGTTCCTTCTTACTCAGCCGGTTACCGCTCAGCTGGTCATAGAATAAATATACAGAGCAGGATTAATGGCAGGCAGAGATAAACACAGGGCAGAGAATGGCGAATGAATCTGGATGAAGTGGTTAAACAAGAATGATAAGCAGTCACCCTGCGTTGCTTTTCATACTGTGAGGATAAGGAGTGTTTATCGGTAGGGGAACAATGTGATGTCAATTGTAGCTTAGCAATGTCAGCAGTTGCTGACATGGCTCATGATCTGCCGATCAAGGCACTAACTACACTACAAGCAGCATCTCACGTGAGGCCCTCCGGCACAAGACCGCAACCCAGAGCCATTGTTGGGCCACTCACCTGGAGTTCACACCAGGCGACAAACACTCCTGTGGTCGTGTCCAGTCCCTTGTACACTGCCTTGAAGCTGCCGCGACCGATCTCCTCGCTGAACTTGAGGAACACCCCGCTGGGAGAGACCTCCACGGCCTTCTCTACCTCGTCCTCCTCCCCGTCCTCAGCCGTCTCCTCCTGACCCTTAGCGTCCTGCCCGGCGCCTCCCGGTCCCCCGGACCCGCCGGCCGCGCGCCGACGCTCTAAATCGCGGTAGTTCTCGATGGCATGTCTCAGAGACTCGTTCTCGCGTTCGAGTCGCCGCATGCTCTCCGCCTGACGCTCCTGTTCTTGTTCTTCCGCTAACGGACTATCGTCGCGCTCCTGACGCTCCTCGCTGTCGGATGGACCCAGCATCTGCACGCGCGGCGCGAAGCACACCTTGCCGCCGTCGCGCGGCCGGTCGCGGTGCCGCACGGCGGAGGGTCGCGGTCGTCCCGCGCCGGAGCCCGTGCCGCACGCGGCGTCCGTGCTGGCGGAGCGGCGCTTCAGCGGAGTCGGGGTCGGCCGCGGCTCCGGCTGCGGCGTGGCGGCCTTTTTGCCGAAAGGTGCCTTGGACGTCGAGCCGGCGGACGGCGGCCGTTCTGGGCGCGTCACCGCCGAGCCAGCCCCCGAAGCACGCTCCGGCTTGGATGAGGCAGATGTAGCTGCAGAGGCGGTGGATTGGTTTGGTTTGGAATGCACGCCACCTGATGATTGAGAGGTGCGGTCTTGGCGGGAACTAGGCCCAGCATGCTGACTGACGCTGCCGGAGCTGGTGGATTCTGATGGACCGGCACCAGAGGCAGAGTCCGGCACTTCAGGTGGCTCTTCTCGTAGAGACAGCCGCTGTGCAGTCTTGTGTAGGAACTTGGCACCTGACTGGCGGATTTTACTCATGGTGCCACCATTCGCAGTGGTGGGGCGCTGCACCCCACTGCCTGACTCCTTCTTCAGCATGTTTGGCATTACTGACCTTGCTGGCTGTGCCATTCCCAGAACATGGTGTCCAGCTGCATGACCAGCCTGATGGTGATTGATACTGATGTGATCCAACCTGAGAAAATGATATTATCATCAAATGGATTATGGAATGTTTGCGTACTTGGTACGTAGGTACCTACCAACATAAAATGTCACCCTAGATCAGTGGTCGGCAGGTCCTCCGGGGTCGTGCCCCCTTTTTTGGCGCCAGGCAGGGCCATTACCCCCACCTACCAGACCCCATTGGTGATACAACCAAGGTTACTGAAATTCCATACTTTTCCGTGACTCTTTGGGTGCCATATCTGCGAGAAACCGCAGGCCCCCCTCCCCTGCGGTTTCTCGCAAATATCTCAAAAACGTTGGCACGGAGCGCCACCATTTTGGAACATTTTATCATACATCGTTTCTGCACATGCCGTGAATATTTCAGATCAGAGTCACTCAAGGTCAGGTCACCAGATCACGTCAAGTGACCTCACCTCAGTAAAAACTGCAACGCCTGATTTAGCTGCATTGAGTGACAGATCTCTTTCAAACTTTCAGGAATTGATAAAGGCAACAACATGTACAACATTTGTATCTCGGAGATTTGATGTCGGTGACCAAAGTTCAGGTCAATTTCACACCCTCTCCCATTATCAATGGGAGAGGGCGCAAAGTCAATGGTAGAAAATTGAAAGGCGCCTCTTTTGGACCAGTGTCATTCCTAACACTGTGACACTCTTATTTACAAGTAAACATGACCGCTGAACCGGAAAATTGCACCCGTAACCCCACTGTATGTCCCTGAGGTCATTTCAGGTCATGAATTGTACCTAACAGCTATTCGCTAATAGCTTTTGATAAAGGCATCCCAGAGCGATGAAAATGCCTTTTAGATGTGTTCAGCTCGACGAAACGGATCGACTGATGTGCAACAAAACCTTCGATGCTTCTCGACGGGAGGATCACGATGCTGATAAAAGTGAGCTCTTGCAAGTTTTGAGTAAAAAGTTATTTAAGAAAAAACTATCAGCAAGCAACGCACATTTTGGCAGTTTTTGTCTCCTGCAGGCTAAACCACCTTCGGTTGAATCTGAGGGCAGGCATCAGAAAAACGTTAAGAGAGCTATCGAATGCGTTTTTCCGCAGCGCTGTAGCTCTATCCTTTCCTGAGCTTTAGGCCAGTTTGTCGAAAATTGTCAAAGGTTGACCTGAAAATTGGCGAAATTTTACGTTCGATGACCTCTGGTGACCTGACCTTTGATTTGACCTAAAAGGTGACCAAAGTTTTTTCTTCATCATTTCTTACGCTCTTTCGATCGCCGACTACGACGTTTCGCTAGTGACCCAGGAGCCAAGTTAATAGGGGGTGTTCAGCCTCCATCTCCAGCAGGGCGTGGAAATCCAGGAGCCCCAGCGGGGCGCGGGTTAACCCCCATACGTATAGGGGTAGCGGTATTTTTCGAGAATAGATCACGTTAAAAGGGTCGGATCACGAAAAAAACTGTACCATCGAGCCGATCATTTTTATCTGTCCTGAAAATGGCATGACCTTAACCCGAATAACCGTTGATTTGTGAGATCTTTCTTGAGATCATGGCAGGCCACAAAATCTCACTTCAAGAAGTTACAGCAGGACCCGATTAACTCGGCAGTTGTTATTGACCTATGGAAGGTCACCCAATGACCAACGGCCTTTAAATTGGGTAGCAGCGGCTGCTTATCTTCACGGGCAACACGCTCAATTTTTCTGCAAAGCTCCAGCTCAGAGACTGAGATGCTCAGGTCAGGGTGCAATGGACGACTCCTCTCCCTTGCGTTAGTGACTGTGAAAACGCCAATAGACGAGCGCCGGCTAGTACATGACAGTAACTTTCCACGACTGTACGGAATGGTGAGCAGCTACATGAAAATTGGCATGCGCCAGCTAATCAGTTCATGCTTTGTGCGTTTGACCTCGACTAATCTTTGAATCCTGGGGCACAACAGTTGTGATGTTTGTCCCATCAAGGGAGCCATTAATTCTAAAAAAGATGAGGCTTTCTCAGAGGCCCTCATTACCCCCCGCCGAAGGGCGCCATTACCCCCAAAGGGGGCATGCCCCACCATTTGCCGACCCCTGCCCTAGATGAACACTTCAGCATTTCTTAGATATTCTGCAAATTCCTAGAAAGCAGCTTAAGAATTTCATTGATTTAGGCACCAAAGTAGGTGCCTGCTTTAATTTCAACTCAAGCTTGCTCACAAAAAGCTGCAAACAGATTCCGGCAGCAACAGCCAACTTGAAGCGGCAACTACCAACTATCATGCCTATTTTTTTGTCATCTGACCTTCTCAAAAGCAAAACAATGGGAAAGTCTTTGATGAAATTCCCTTTAAAAAATGATAAGCAATAAAAATGAAGATTTTTTTCCAATCACTAGCATTACATGCGAGCTTTATCAGCACTTTGCAGCCACAGCGTCATATAGGTATCTAACACACACCGTGATCTATTTTACAATATTTTCCACACCTCTTATTTCTTTGTCTTACCTTCCTGAAAGAAGGCTGAAGAAATAATGAAAGGATATTGACCCCGACCCGGGTCACGCGCCTCCGGCGCGAAGTTTACGACTGACGAAAATGCGTGCTCAAGGTTTCGATAAAAGCGAGGTTTACAAGTCACCAGCGATAGGCGAAATATTATGACGTCATCGCACTCTTCAGGCCCAAAGCCGACCACGGGCCCTCTTTTTCGGGGGCCCTCTAACCCAACAGTGTCCGTAATGGGTGCTTTGGTTACGATTTCCTCACGATGTCGAGCCCCGAGGCCCCGAGGCCCGAGGACCAACCCAGTCTCATCGGCAGCCCTCCGCCCGCAGGGCATCGCACTCAGAGCACCTTTCCCGGACCCCTGCCCCAGACCCATTCGCGTCACATGTCCACTCCCAGCGCATTTTCAATCATGAAATCGATAAACATGCAAGAAGCCTAGGCTACCTACTTACCTACCTGCTTTGAATGATTATCCTGGAGCCACCAGCCACTGTGGAGTTTGCAGGACGCGGTAATGCCGGCTTATGGCCCTCATGCCATCCACCACCGACGTTTGAGCGCGCTGCTTTGTCTGTATACATTGACTCGGCGAGCCATCGAACAACACTGACCAGCCGCGGCCCCTAATGTGCCGGGTTCCCCCGACCCCGGGCTCTGACCAATGGCCACGAGAGGACGCCTCGAACCGGTTCTTACGCAACGAACCGGTTCGTTGTTTTGTAGTTATCACGTGGGGGTCGCATGTGAGATAACTCAGCCACGAGGGTAAAGACAGACATGTGAGAAGCCGGACTCAGGTCTAGCACGAAATCGATATCGCCTTTGACACAGCTGAATTATGAATAAGTCATGAGAAGCTATGACGCGACATGACACGCGTGGCAAGTCTTGCACCAAGCTCGGTAATCGTACGTCGACACATGTCCTTGACAAGGTCCAAATCAAGCGTTGCGCATGGCTTCGAGTGCATATTGCCGTTTGACACGCACTTTTTGAAGGCGATTTCGATAACACGCTCGTGTCTAAGCGCTGGGATAACAAAGAGCGTCGTAGTTACATTGACGCAACCCAGAGAGATCCTTCATACAGAGAAGGACTATCGCTCTGCACCCTCATATCAAGCCACGGCGACTCCTTGTTGCTGAAGCCACGGCGACTCCTTGTTGCTGAGACAGCACGTCTCTGGAATGCACCGCGTAGAAGTCTGGGTACAGAGTTCACAGGACAAGCGATAAGCAATCCAGTCATGAGCAACTTACAACTGACATTCATAACTGATGCCACCTTGCGTGAAACACAGCGAGCGCGGTCGCAAACACGCATAAAGACAAGTATTTTATTGGACAAATCGGATGGGTTCCTTACATGACAAAATCCACAAACGATATAATAGAAGCCATAGCTTGAAATTTGGCGGCAACAGAACGCTGAGACGGGCGGCCAGCGCGCCCCCGTCGGCGGCGAGGCAGCGTGGGGCAGGCGGCGGCGGCGGCCCGGCACCGGCGCGGCCCGGGCGCGCCTGCGAATACACAACCAAACAGAAGCGAGCGGCGGACGCCGCGACTCGGCGGCATGCCCTCTCCCTGTGGGTGACTACAAATAACACGTGACACAGCCTGGCTGGCGCGCCACGCTCTCAATCCAGGGGAAGGGCGGGGCGGGGCGGGGCTTTGGCAGGCTGACGCACGCCACAGACGTCTCGAGAACAGCGCGCACGCGTGGCCAACTGACGCTCACCACTACTTACTGTTACTCGTATAAGAAACACGAACAATGACGCACGCGACTGGCGGCACGGCGGCGGCGGTGGCGTCCGCGGGTGTCCGGGCAGCCCGGCAGCGGCCGGCCGCCCCCGCCCGTGCCCGGCGCCGCCCGAAGGGACATGCGGGGGCGGCGCGGGCGGCGGGGCGGCGGCGGCCGGCCGCTGCCGGGTCTCTCGGCCCGGCGGTCGGCTCGCGGCGGCCCCTGGCGCCGGCCGGCCCAGTTGGCTGACGGCAGCACGACCCTGAGCCCTGGAGGATGTTGTGCGGCCGCGCTGCAGTCCGCCCGGTGGGCCGGCCGGCGGCGCCGCGGCGGCGGACCCAGACCCGCGCCGCCATCGACTCGGACCCGCCCCCGCTCCGACACGAGACACCTGTAAAACGCCACATTATAAATAACTGACTTTTCACAGCAAATCACATGATGATTATTTTGCCGTTAAACACAATACTCTACATGTAGTCTGGCGCGGGCGCTCGCGCGCACGGGGCGAGCAGCGCTGCGCGCAGGCATCGGCGGTGCGCAGCCCGCGGCGGCGGCGGGCGCTCCAGCTGGCGCATCGCGCCGCTGCCCTTCTTCCAGGTAAGCCGAAATAAAACGATATACTGACGCTCAACTGAAGAAGCGCGCTCTCTCGTTCTGCGCGCGCCACGCGGAGCGCCCTCAGTGGCGACTAGAGGCCAGGCGACCGGGCGCCGGGCGCGCGTCACGTCGGCGGGAGCGCGCGGGAGGCGGCGACGGCGACTCCTCACAGTCGCGCTCTCGCTCTCTCGCTCTCTCTCGCTCGCACCAGACACCGTCTCTTGTATGGCAGTAGGCAGGCAGACGCGCTCGTTCGCTCGTCCGACCACTCGCCCATCTCTTTCTCTCGCTGTGTGTGTCAGTGGGGCCGGCTGCGCGCGCGCGCGCTCTCTCACTGTGGGGGCGCGCGCGCTGCCGCCCTCTGGCGGTAGGTGTGCGCTCACTCCGTGGTCCCGTCATTCATAGCATCCTAGCTGGGTGTGCGACCGGTGTGCGCGGTCCGGGCGGCCCCCGGGCCGGCCCGGAAGCGGCTTAGTCTGGTGGCGGCCGGCGCGGCCGGCTAGTTCCAGATTTTGAGGAAGCTGTCCCAGGAGCCGGTGCAGACGGCCATGCCGTCCTCGGTGACGCCCAGACAGCTGACCCGATTGTCGTGACCGGCCAGCACGCCTGGAACACGCCGCAGCGGCACATGGTCAGAGAGAGTCGGACGTCAGATCTACAGCAGCGGCGGGAGCGACAGTGACACAGCCGGTCGGCAGGCATAACAGGAAATGGGCGTGTGCGTTGGAAACCGGAGACGCATGATGACAGGCTAGCTTTCTGAGTAATGGGCCGGCAGCAGTATCTGGTGGTTGAGAACATTCAATGACAGCTGCTATGATTAGGATTAGTCTCAGTTTACCAAACAGCTGTGTTTTTTCCATACATGAAATTCAATATCAAATGATAAAAACGGCAGATAAACTGCTGATAGAAAATATAAAAGCCGGCAAGCTCTCTCACTAACGAGTAACGAATAAGTTGAATTTCTGGCAATGCTCTTAGCGACACGTAAATAAATATGCATGAGTTTAACATGTTTCGGCATCTACACCTTTTTAGGCGCAATTTCAAAAAGTTAAAGACCAAATTCAAAAAGTTTACATTCGAAATGCACGTGAGCGTTTTGAATTTGGTCTTCAACTTTTTGAAATTGCGCCTAAAATGCTGTAGTTCACTAATATATATCACTAATGTCGTAGACTATATATTCCGTGATAAGACTGTAACTTCATAATGAGCGCAACCGATCACTTTAACCCTCACCTCCAGCTTATTTCCACCAGACAGGGACTCTGTCTATCCGAACCCACCCCAACTCCGCCCTCTCTCCCTCTCCCCTCCAACCGCACGTACCGGCCCGCTCTGTGCGCATGGCGTCCCAGACGTTGCAGTTGAAGTCGTCGTATCCGGCCAGCAGCAGGCGGCCAGACTTGCTGAACGCCACACTGGTAATGCCGCAGATGATGTTGTCGTGCGAGTACATGGCCAGCTCCTGGTCGGCGCGGATGTCGAACAGACGACACGTGGCGTCGTCCGAACCCGTGGCGAACGCGTAGCCGTTCGGGAAAAACTGAGGCGAGTGGAGGGGGAAGGGTCAGTGGTGGAAACATGCGCTTATGATGTAATGCAGCATGTTAACTGTTAAGTGAATGCTATGACTTTGACCAATTAGAAGATAGGCACACCGCACAGTGTCAAAGATTGTGCGTTAAATATCTATATCATACATGCACACATTGCAATATGCTGTTCATAGAAATACGCAATAAAATGTTTAACATCAAATTCAAGGAAAAACATATCATGACCATTAAATACATTGATATTTAGAATATAGACCACAACGAATAACATTTCAAGTTTGACTGGAGGGAATCCATTGAGCACGTCGAAAAGCGGTCATGCTTTCAGGCGTAGGCTCTGGGCAGAGAAGATATGGTTGCTCAGCCAGCGGGGAGAAGCGACCGAGGCTGTCAGGGGCGGCTGGCGGGACGAGCCTGGCAGGGCGCGGATCAAGGTTGGGCACATGGAGGGCGGCCCTGGACGGGTCAGTCCACACTGAGCTAATTTAGCCAGCCGGCAGGCCGCGGATGACAACGCGTGAAGAGTGGCTGAAATACGTGTAGGTATACGAGCGTCTCGGGAATAGCGTCGAGCTCAAGCCAGCGATAGTGCCATACGTTGCACCCCTTACCCCGCCCCCGAATCTGGAAACATCATGCATCCCATCCTGCGAGTCACCCGCTCCTGTCTCTCTCAGAAATCAGACGCATATACCGCCCGCCCCTACCCTTCCCTGCCCAGCGCTGGAGATAGCAGAAGGATGCCGTCCGGTGATTTCTAGTCACGCCGGACGCGAGCCGTTGTCATACCGGACTGGGCGCGGTTGAGGCATTGGTTCACTTCCTGTGAGCGCGCTCGCAGAGCGGATAGGTTAGGTTCGTCAGCGCACAGCCAGGCGCTATGCAGCAGTGAAGCCCAAAAGCGGTAACAGCTCGGCCATGTCTAAACATATAATACTCCCCGAGTTATCGGCAAAAGTACTGAATTACATGACACCGAATTAAAAAAGGATTAATTGATTTAGGCGTACTACGGCATTCACATAAGTGTATGCAATCAAAGATGAAAGCGTTGCTACCCCATTTCACCGCAAATGGCAAGTGCGCAGTTCGAGCTGCAAAGATCCAGCCCACGTCCTTCTCTTCCTAAACGATCCCATTCCGGCGCGAAGCAACATCTCTCCGCGCGCCCAGACCCGCACATCGACTGGCAGCTGGCAGGGAACAGCTCGGCAGGCAGGCCCGGCGGCCGGCGCCCGGCCCGGCCCACTTACTGTGACCGCGTTTAGGTCCGACTCGTGGCCGGGAAATGTATTCCTACAGGTGCCGTCCCTAAGGTCCCAGAGCTGTCGGCAGGCGCACCCGTCAGACGGCGCCCACAGTCCCACACACGGGGTGAGGACGGGGCGGTAAGGATCGCAGCCAAGGACAGAGCGAGAGTAGGACGGCTGGGACAGGAGCAGGACAGTCAGGAGCGGATGGTAAGGAGTCGACAGGATGTCACGGTGACGGAGGGGCGACTTACGCCTATCGCGTTGATGTCCGATTCGTGGCCAGAGAACGTTTGGCGGCAGGTGCCCTCGCGGATATCCCACAGCTAGAATGGGAGGTCGGCGGGTCATCATGACACAGGTACAGATCAGCAGCTGCTGATTGCATTACCGGGCATCTTTGGCGGACATGGCCGCATGTTAAAACATTTAAATGTTCAGAAAACACACGCATTATCATATACGGGTGGATTCATGAGCTATTAACCCGCGCCCCGTAGGGCTACCGGCGGACCCTACCACCCGTAGGGGGGGGCCGTTTCGGCCCCCCCCTAAGATTTCGGAAAGTTACCGGCCGATTTTCAAAATTCAAAAGGCGTTCGATAGCCCCACCCGGGAACTACCTTGTGACCAAATTTCATTGACCTAGGTCAAACCGATGACGTCACAGGTCAGGTCAAAGGTCAGATTTTCACCGTTCACAGGCAATTCAAGAAATGTGCTGTGAAAGCGAGTAAATTGGTAATTTATTGAAAACCATCGATGGTACATTGTTCGTCAAACACATACTTTGCTATCTGAGGTCACTGATACCAGGTCAGGTCACAGCGAGGTCAGGTCACCGGGGGTCACAATATGAATGTGTCGTGTGATACATGTTTTATGGTCCATTTTACATGACAAATGCGATTATGTGGGTTAGGCAGCCTTTGGGGCCAGCCTAGGTCACGTTTTGGTGAAGGTCAGGTCAAGGTCAGGTCAAATTAGGTCAAATTTCAAAGTTGATATTTTTGCATAAAATGGGTATCGATTCGATGCAGCTCGTCACGGGGAGTCTAATGGTGGTCTTCGTTTTGCTCTACGAGTTCTAGAATTGCCAAAAATTGAGTTTGAAAATTTGACGTCATCATTTTTGAACAGTTTTTTCGCTATAACTTGGCCAAAAAACGAGGTATCGATCTGAAATTTGGTATGTGGATAGAAGACGGTAGGCACTATCACATATATTCCGGTTTTTTTCGAAACTCAAAAAACTTTTTGGATTTTTTGGCCAATATATCCAAAAAAATGCTTTTTTGATTTTTGGGGGTCAAAACTCAAAAATTTCAAAAATTCGAGATAGCAGTTTTGTAGCCCTGTCAATTCTACACCTTTTATGTCTTGATCATTTTTCTGTATCTTCAAAGCTGTAGTCCTGACAGGTCTTCTCGCGAAGGTCTTTTTTCGGTCGAAAATGACAGAACATGACGTCACTCTGACGTCATTTGTGGCCAACCTATCATAGCCTCTGGAAACATTTTTGGTCACAATGTGTAAAATTGATGCCCGGAGGGGTCCTGAAAGTTTGGTGGCGATATCTCCAGCCGTTTAGGAGATATCGACCGAAAAGGACAGGGGGGGGCCGTTTCGGCCCCCCCCCCTACGGGGCGCGGGTTAATATTGATTTTAGGTTTATCGGACGACCGCATGAGAGAATGAACATCTCACAAAAATTGCATGAAACAGTGGACACTGCGTCAAAATGAGAAGACGGAGCTGTAAAAAGTGAATCACTTCGAGGTCAAACTGAAAACGAGGCACCAGGAAAGGTAATTTGCATAAAATGTCTTTTACATACACAAACATCCCTCAACAGAGCTAACTTTCATCAGACACCGCTAGATGTTTTGAAACGAGACACTAATGAACCATGTTTAACCCCTGATACTTCTACTGTAATCTGTCGAACTCTCCCCTTCCAATCTACCACAGCCTACCAGCAGTAGCCCAGCCTGGATGGCCTCAGACCCCACCATGGACCCGGCCCCGGCCTGTACCAGTCGAGTCGTTACCTTGGCGGAGGCGTCGCAGGCGCCTGAGACGAATGTGCGCATGTCGGGTGCCAGCGAGAGGGACATGACGTCCCCGGTGTGGCCGGTGAACGCCGTGCACTGCTGGCCCGTCTCAATGTCCCATAGTGCGCTGTGAGGGGGGAGAGACGGGCTCAGTGGTGACGCTCATGGGAGTTATGGACGGTGTGGGAGGACGAGACGTGGTTGGTGATAGAAATATACCATCCCGCACGCAAATACCGCACGTAATCCTAAAATGAGCAAACGCACACTGTTCCAACCATTCACAACATATAACGTTTTCCATCTAAAAACCTACATCGCTGCCAATCTGGCTTGCGCCAGCGCAACTCTATCACAGAACAAGTCACTCTCTTCCTGCCTCTACCTAGCACATCTTTTAGCAGTTAGCATTGATCAGGTTAGCCCCCCCCCCCCCGCCTCCAGACGGCCCGCCACTGACCAGGTCATGTCACCGGAGCTGGTCACGATCTGGTTGTCGTCGACGAACCGACAGCAGCTCAGGTAGCCCGTGTGGCCGGGCAGTTCTCTGCTGACGCGCACACTGCCCTCCCGGGTCTTCAGGCTGAGGAGGTAGGTCAGATGAGACAGGTCAGAGCGGGACACGAGTAATTCAACAACACACTGTCCCCTCCTCGGTATTCGTTAGCTGGAATGTCAGGTGACATAAGCTAGGTCTGGGTGGGGGGATATATAAGCCGTGAGTGATACAAGAAGTTTATTTCATCAACTGGAGTCCTTCGTCCTTAGAAACCTCAACACCAGACACTATGCCGACAAGAACACAGTCCCCACAGTTATACTCAACTCATAGCGGCGACGCGGCTATGGAAGGTTAGGACCCTGCCCGGGCGCCACTGAACGTGACCGGAGCAAAGGGAGACGGGGGTCGGAGACAGATAAATCACCCCGCCGACAGACGCGGGGCAGACCCTGACTAGGGGTGGTGCGAAGGGGAGTGTAGGAACGGGCGCGCCGCTGGCAGTAGAGCCGAGAGGCGCGAACGGCAGTCGTCGACTGCGACGGACGGCGAGTGGAGCAGAGAGTGGGCGAGAAGTTTCGGTATCGCTTGAATCCAGTATTCGGGTACATGAGCCTTTAGGAAGCCTTACTGAAACCGTTTTAAAATCAGACACATTTGAGGCTGGTTTCAGCGCTCAATTGAGTCTTTATTCAAACTGCTCTCAAAGTGTATTCTGAGTGCAGGAATCGAGCAAGCACAGACAAAATGCATGCAAGATCATGCCCGGACACAACTACACCGACTACGCCGCTGCCTGCCGGCTCCCCAATCTCGAGACTCCGAGTAAGCGTCGCGACACTGCAATCTGCGGCAAGCTGGCAGCCGACACTTTCGCGAACCCTGCCCACCCACGGTAACCCGTGCGAGCAGCTGCCAAATGTGAGTCCCCATATGCGCTGGCAATGCAAAGTTGTCATCCCGCAGGCCAGAACGGAGCGGCAGAAAAGTCATCGGCGCCCGTGCTCACAGGCCTCATGAACAGCACGTGATTCTTAGGTAGGGGTAGGTGCGTTTAAAGTACGCTAACAATGCACCTTTCCTACTTTCCGTGAGGCACTGTGCTTTGCGTGCGGTGCCATCACAGCACCGGAATCTATGCACAACCTTTTCTACCAGTCATTCACGGCCACATGGCCATACAAACCTCATTTATGTATGTGCGGTCGTATGAGCACGTAAACCGGGTCCGCCGCCGACGCCGCGGCTAAGTTGCGCGCAACATAGGTCTACGGGACCGCTGCCGACGACTAGATAATCTGCAGCACGATATCAAAGGCGAAACCAGGCCACTGATCCCAGATTCGCGGCATTCCATTTTAGCCAGCACCGATGACGTCGGTTTAGGCGCCGGGAAGCGTGCCGGGCTAAACATCACAACCCCGAGGCCGTGAACACGGGGGTCCAAGACCGACACGAGGACAAAACCATCGGATCGGACCCCCCCCCCCTCTCACCGCAGTGTGTCCAGGCATGGCTTCACACACACCGGAATATCAGCGAACGACACGGCAGGGCCGCCGGGAACCTCAGTCGCCCCTCCCCCCCCCCCCTCCCCCAAGGCCGCCCGCGCCGACCGCCAGTCAGAAAAGACAGCCATCGGCGGAGCCAGAGCCGGCCGCCGGCCGCTGGCACAGCCCCGGCACCGCCATGACACCGGACCGGCTGATGAGACAGTCAACGCCGGGGCAGCCGCGGGCCCGCCTGCCGGTACTGTCCGCGGGGCCACAGAGGCCCACAGTGGGGCCGCCACGGTCCTCAAACCGGGCGACAGCGGCGGGACGGGCCGCCCGCCGCAACCTGATACCAGCCGACGCCGCACGACCCGGCTCCCCCGCTGGTCCCCCGGCGGCCACGAGAGGCAGACGACTAACGAACACCCCGAACACGGTCACGTTCCATTAGTGGGTCGCGGCGCCCCCACGCTGGTCGACAGTGAGTCACTGGCGGCACTGTGCGGGGAGTATGGGGTCCAGTCACAGCTGACGCAGGACGGGAGCCGACCTTGGGGTGGAGGGAGTCCCTCGCCGCCCCGGTTCACACTAACTGGTTCGACCCAAACTCACCACCAAGAGCCATGCCGCAATAACAGACCGGGCATCGCCAGCGGAACACACTGGGAACCTTTCCGCATGCGGCATGTGCCCGGATTCGTGGTCAAACCATTAACTGCGCAGCAGAGATCGAGAAAGGCGTGGGCAGCGGACGCTTAGCCTAAGACTTTTTCATTCCATTGAGTGTATTTGGCGTTTTTTAGGGGCCGTCCTACCCTACAAACGAGCCGACGCGAGTGGTTTCGGCCGCTGACAGCCAACTGAGGCGAACGCTTGGTGATAGTGGCGCGGGCAACGGGGGCCTAATCAACTCATAGCGGCGACGCGGCTATGGAAGGTTAGGACCCTGCCCGGGCGCCACTGAACGTGACCGGAGCAAAGGGAGACGGGGGTCGGAGACAGATAAATCACCCCGCCGACAGACGCGGGGCAGACCCTGACTAGGGGTGGTGCGAAGGGGAGTGTAGGAACGGGCGCGCCGCTGGCAGTAGAGCCGAGAGGCGCGAACGGCAGTCGTCGACTGCGACGGACGGCGAGTGGAGCAGAGAGTGGGCGAGAAGTTTCCCACCCACCCTCACCTATTTAATAGATGCGATTTGGAGATTCGTCAAACCTACATATCCTTAATCCCGACCATATACCTCGTCGTTATCACTCCGTCGGTGCGTTTTTTAGGGGCCGTCCTACCCTACAAACGAGCCGACGCGAGTGGTTTCGGCCGCTGACAGCCAACTGAGGCGAACGCTTGGTGATAGTGGCGCGGGCAACGGGGGCCTAAAGAACGATGGCGGCTCCAGAGACCAAAAAAACAGTACGATAAATACAGTACCGTGCATCGCCTATGCTAATGAAGGTGACCAGCTAAAACAAACAAACAATACTGTTAAGTGTAAATAATCACCCCTCCCCCATTTACGCAAACCATTCCGTGACAAAACGCCCCTCGCCGTGCCCATTAGCCAAGATTAATTTACTAATACCCATTTACCCACCTGTATATCGAGCAGATATTGTCGAGACCGCCGCAGGCCACAAAGTTGCCCGAGGGCGCGTAGGCGCAGGTCATGACCCATGAGGAGCGCAGAGGGATGGCGTGCACCTTGTTGGTCGAGTAGCTGTCCCATACGATCAGCTTGCCGTCCTGAGACGCCGACACCAGGTTCCTGAGAAAGAGACAGAGAGATAGGGGTTAGTGACTGAAGATGAAACACCGTGCTGCGATCGCACTGGGCTTGATTACACCTCTCGCATGGATTACACCGCAACCATGTAGCTCGTCTATATCGATGGCTCATTTTGGCAGAAAACCTAACTAGCTAAGTCGCAGAACAACACGTGCGCTGTTTGGATATTTTTACGTCACGTGGCGGGCAGAACACGATCCTGGTTGTCAGAACGCTGTCAAGTTCGACCGTGTTTCGGAGAAGGCCGGCGTTATGTATGGTCTGGGACTGAATACGAAGAAACCGGCCTCTGATTCATCCACAATAGCTCGCATCACAATGAGAAACCACAGTCATAGCCAGCCAGGGAATTCGATAACATTGTGATACGAATATCTAAAACAAGAAACCCTGACAGCAGAGGTAGGCGACACATGTTTGGACAACTGACATGGAACACATAAAATAAGTTTTAAAGATAGAGGGGCGGAGAGTAAAACAGAAACAGATAGGTCTTCTGAACACTGGGTGCTGTCGAACACGATTTGTGCACCCATGTTCGATTTCAATACAAACCAACCATCAATGGGTGGATCATGAATAATCCTGATGGCCTACTACGACACAGACCACTTGTGTAAGCCAAAACAAGAGCCCGTGGGTCCCCATGATCCCTCTCCCCGATCTCGTAGCATCCAACAAAGGCTGCAGTCCGTCGCCGCCGGCCCATATGCTACCCCATCAGCTCCTGGAACGACCACCACACAGACCAAGACGTCGGCAGAAAAGACAATGATGACACCCAACAAAAGAACGCGGGCCGCACTTCCGCGTGCCGTCAGCGTCGGCGGCCGGCTGTGGCCACGCCCCTCCGGCCGGTCCCTCCACCCTACCCTGCCTGTCTCGGTCCGCCGAGCGCCGCCCGTCCCTCTCGGTATCTCTGCGGCGCGCTGCTCGCTCGGTTCGCCGGGCGTTCGGCCAGGAGCGCGGCTACATTGCAGGAGCAGCGGTCGGGAGGGAGGGCCGCCGGCGGCGACGGCGGCGGCTCCCCAGGGCGGCGCGCCGCCGAGGGCTATAAATAGCCTGTCGGTCGGCCGGTCGGTCGGTCGGTCGGCCCGTCGGTCGGATGGCGGCGGCGCCGACCGGTCGATAGCACCGCTCGCCGCCGGCCGGCCGCCGTATGTACTACGGCCCACCGGCGCGACGGAGACACTACGGCACGGCCACAGACGGACGGGCGCGGCCAGGTGCCGGCGGTGAGACGCGAGCATGACAGCCGCGGTCAGGCGACTCATGACAGAGATTGGATACACGAGCAGTGCGAGCCAGTCAAAGGTCCCAGATAGGTGAAATCCGGCTCTGGTTTGCGCCCAGATAGATTTGTCCCAAGCAACCAGTCAAGCTGGCTTCAACATCACGCGGACTAAAAATAGCATGTCACTATCCTAGAAATCGCCTGTCAGCTGCCACGCTTCGTTACTGTATACCCGACTAGCCCAGTGACAAAACGCGTCACTACTCACATTTGCCGCAAGGGCGGAGACACATCGCGACAGTCTCTACAATCCTGCCCAAAATTCAATCTGGCTGGCATGACGCACCCGGCCATGGTTTGCCCGGCCGTGACCAAAGGACCTATAGCACCGCCGCGCGAGCACCCACCAAGCTTTCGCAGGGAGTGATCACAGGTGAGCCATAGGTGAGACGGGTGCCAACAGCGTACGGTAGACGGACATCACCTCGGCTTGATTCATAGATTCAACGGGCGTGCAAGCTTGTTGAAAGGAGGAGGCGACACGCCTTAACTGTAGATTGAACGTTCAACTGGCTGTGATTAAATGAAATAAAAGATTAAAAACTGTTGCAGACTACTATCACCTCGTGTTTCACTAACTAAATGTACCTGGGGACGGACTGAGTTTTTCAAATCTGGGAAAGTTGAATCTCTCGGTTTAGCCAAGTCACAGATGGCCGTTCCGCGGAGCACTAACGCCTCAGCTCCGGGAGTCCAGACTGGTCGGCGGCCGCCGCCGAGCGCCGTCAGCGCACGACGGCTACATATATCAGCGACGGCCGATGACAGTCCTGCGGGTATTTTTACCCGATTCCGACACCGGCCATCAGCCATCGCCGTTAATTGGTGCGTTTCAGGTCGGCTTAGGACCAGCTACCGGCGATTCCCGATATATCCCGGCCAGTGCCGTTTTAGCCCACTTGTCCGTCCTGCCGGGTCCTCTAGTGCGTTACGGGTCGGATTAGGTCCGGCTAGCGGCGTACCTCGTCTCCCAAAATATCCCGCTCTGTGCCGTTGTAGCACACTTGTCCGTCCGGTCCGGTTCTCTCATTTTCCTCCCCTCCCTCTCCATCGAGTTCCGATCGAGCACGTCTCATCAGGCCGAGCCGAGTCATTCCGGGCCAGACCGGGCCGGGTCAGGGCGGGCCGGCAGGACCCCAGTACAGCTCGGGGTGCCCCTGCGCCGCCGGAGGCCGGTGAATATTTCAGAGGGCGCGCGGTGGGCCACCGGCCCGGCCCGCCCCTGTCGCCCATCGATCGACCGGTCCGGACCGGGCTGATCGCCCGCCGGCTGAGCGGGCGCCGCGTATCGGCCGTTGCGCCCCGGCGAGCCGGAGCAGATAGCGGCTCGCTCAATCACCGCCGTCCGCCGCGCTATCGGGGCCCGACCGCTGCCGAAGCGCACCGTCCGCGCCCCTCCGTATGTCGCGCGCTCACCCGACGGCTGATCTGCGCTGTCCACCAGCCGTCGGCACTCGGCTACAAACGACCATGATCCCTGTCTGATCCACACATGTTCGACCCGGTTCGAATGTGATTACACAATGCACGAATCTCGACGACGATGAGTTAAAGTTCTGGGCGCACGCACAGTTCATCCGCGTATTAGTTCCTCGTCCGCCTGTCAACCAATGCTTTCCACATTTCTTGGATCTCACCCACCATTCCTCCTTCAAAACATCGCACGGCTCCGCGTCACCAGCGTTCCGAATCCTTTCGCCAGCGAGCACTGGTGGACGCCCCTTCAAACCACTGTCAGGACCGCCCGTTACTGCTGTACGACACGACATAGAACAGCGCAGCCCACCAGCAGCGCCGGAGGTGACGACATCGAAGACCACGGAGACCCGTCAGAAGTGACGTCTCCCGCCCGCCCGGTGGCTCCGACCGTCCGATGATGCAACTCTTTCTGCGCGGTGCCCAGTCGGCTCGCCCGTCCTCTTCGATTTGTCCACCGTGTTCGGTCACCGTCGCCAAAGTCTATGGCCGACGAGTCAACCACCGATCGCTCAGACAGCGGCCATGTCCATCACCGCACTCTCCCCTCCCCAGCTGTTTGTTCGTTCCCGTTTCAGCCAGACCGCCGTCGCCGTCATCAGTGACGCCTTCCGTCTGTGTTGATGACGCAGGGCACGAACACAGTCCATCGCCACGTCCGGTGGCGCACCTGTGCTGGGAATCAGGACCCCACACCGCCGCCGCGGCAGGGGCTCCCGCCGGATGGGTGGGCACTGTGCGTACACAGACGGGTTACACGAACTCTCTACGTGCGTCACAGCCGCCCCAAACTGCACCCGTGACGTGAGACCCCCGGGCCGCGTGACGGTGGAGACGACCGGTGCAGGTAAACGACGCCCACAGACGGCGCCGACGAGTACGTCAGCGGCGAGCGAAAGCAGGGGTAAGGCCGGGCAAGAATGCAGGTAGGTGGAGGAGCTGATGCGGCGAATAAGACTATTTCGGGGACGCAACAGCGATGAACGAGACTCATGACCAGTAGACGATGGCCAGTGGCCACTCCCTGCTGGTGCGAGCTCGGTTGAAGGTGATATCATGACGCAAGGCGTGTTTATTAGGGGTATGATTGTAAAACGAGCCGCACAAACACCCACACCTCGTGATAGCGAAAATCGGACGCTCTCTAACAGACAGACAGACTGATGACGTCTTGTCAAACGGGGAAGCACGGACCGTTGGCTCTCAAAATAAACGGGCAGTTGCCAGCAGGATGCATACAGCGTGGCGAACAGATCAAGGCCCATCGGCGAGAGGAAGGTCACCCGGTGTCATTTTTTGTCAGCCGAGACGAGGACTTCGGGAAGCGATAAGCCTGCGTGTTTTTAGACACCGTGATAGCACTGATAGCGTTCATAAATCGTATCTATCTGGTAAAAATTAATAACTGAATGGCTAAATTGAAGGTCGAACAGCTCGCCAGAAATACCTACAAAAAAGACACTTTCACTTCCACATTACACCTATCACACACACTATACTCCCGAATATACCACCTTATCATCAGGGGGAAACCAACTATCATACCACCCCACATAATCATCGTCAGCCTTCCACCCGCGTGAAACATCCACCTCGAGTCGCAGCCCCAGTGCACGGCGTAGATTCTGTTGCGTACCTTGAGTCGCAGCCCCAGTGCATGGCGTAGATTTTGGCGAGGTGGCCGCGCAGGGTCCGCCGGTTGCGCATCTGTATCCGCCCGATGGGCTCCATGCTGGAGGTGGCCTGCACCAGCGTGGTGTCGCATGCTGCCTTTCGCGCATCCTGTGAACACACACGAGAGGGGTTAGCTGTGGGTGACGGCAAGGGGAAAACACGTGACATGTACCTGCAAATACAGCAAATACAGGCCCGAGTAGTGCAAGTTTTTGGTTCTCTAGTAATCAGATCTCTAGCTCTCAGCGGTGACCCGTGAAGGACAAGTGTGCTATGGGTGAGCTCATTGATACAACGAAACGCGAGCGAGGGTAAAAGAAAAGTGGGGCATTGTAACACGATACATAAAGATAGGGCAGTCCAGTTGTAATCCCATAATCCCAGTTGTGAGCAAGAACTAAATACCGGTCCAAAATTCGATGGAACAGTGAGATTTACAAAGTGAAATGACACTGTAACCCGTAGCCGACTCCGTAGTTCACCCCTGGTGTTAATGCACCCACAGAGAGCAGGGCAGACCTCACGGAGTGAAGCACCGCGCAGTGACTAGCACGGCGACTGGCTGGAGCCGGGGTATGGCCAGGGTCAGGGGTCAAACGGGGTCAGCTGATGGGCGGCAGGAGTACCGGGAACAAAACCATGCAGCAAGGAACAGACCACGTCGGCGCGCCGGTGTCAAAGGTACAAATGTGTGCAACGCTTTCGCGCCGACGAAACACCCGGAAACATACAAAGCTGCCATAAGCAACGGTTAGGTATCTATCGTCCACAAACAGGATATATACGCTTTGTGAGCACGCATTTACAATACTAATTTCATTTGTTTGCAAACACTGCTACGACGATGACGACCAAGCCCATCACAGGCTGATGAATGATACGCGGAAACTTTGACACACTGCAGTGCACAGCCAGACGATAAATTTCAAGCACTCGTCAAGCTAGGCATCTACTGAATCTACATGGAAACAACAAGGTTTATAGGTACGCTTGAGCCGTTACTTCTTCTTATGTCCATGTGCATACTTCTGAGGACGAGCAGATACACTAAAGACCACAGCTGTTCGTAGAAAGTCTTAGAAGGAGCGTTGAAAACATCTTTGTAAGATCCGATAGGGAGACGCCATGCGAGTTAAGGCCTGGCTACACTATGCGTTTTCTTCGTGCGTTTTTTGCGTGTTTGCGTGTTTTGCGTGATATCGTTCTAGAAAAAAGAACGATATTACGTTTTTGTGATGTTTTTCACCTAAAATTGTAGTTACATTAGAGTTATATTAGCTTTTGTATATAACCAAAGTAAGAATTATATTGTTAATATAATAACTTTTTTCCTAGAACGATATTACGCAAAACACGCAAACCTGCAAAAACGCACGCAGAAAACGCATAGTGTAGCCAGGCCTTTACCCAATATTTCCCTTGATGTTATCAAACGTCAACTAAATTTGTATCATATTTCAGTCATGCTCGCTCTGACTCGTCTCGGTCGGGGACTATAAGAAAAATGATTATCAAACTGTCCGAACTATTTCAATAGCTGCGAAACCAATCAAAATCCGCATGCCTGGCACTATCGTAGCCCTCTAGCATCTGAAGTGAGTGCATGCAACATCCGATAGTAACGCATGACCTTGGTCCAAGCGGCACATGATGCGACGAAGTTGAGCTCACACTATCGTGACACGCCAATGTATCGTACTTACTCGAATAGCATTTTTAAGTGTCTCCGCCTCTTGTCGCAACGTGTCCAGCTCATTCATACTTGCTAAAAATTAAGTATAAAAAATCTGTAACGAAAGAGAGAAACAGGTCAGTCATATGGCACATTAATATCAAACCCTAAATCAGCTTACATCTCTAACCTTTAACAATACAGACACAGAAACACACGCCCACATCCAGCCAACCAAGCACTAATGTACAAGCAACACATTCCTCTATCTACCAACACCTAGCCCGTGACGTTTCATCCGCAATCCCAGCAGTGCTGCAGCTGCGCCAGTCAGTGACGGAGCACGCGGCTGCCGGGGTGCCGTTGGCAGCCGACCGCTCGGCGATCCCAGCACCGCCGAGAGGTCACAAGGTCACGGTAATACCGCTCAGCGGCCGGCACGGCACGGATGCGACGCGCCGTGGCGATGACCCGGCGGCGCTCAACGGGTGGTGCTCAAGCATACAGGCGCGCGGCTACAGAGCAGCAGTACGGTCATCTGACCCGCCGGCACTGGACCCAACAGGCCGTATCTGCACTGATGTAAACACAGGCCGAGCGTCGTCCCAGGCGGGCGGACGGCTGCGAGCGGGTTCGGTCAGCTATGCGACGGGATGTCACCGCTCGAGTGTGCAATGTTCGCAGTCAAATATTCATCCGGTCACGCCGCAGGCGAACAGCGAGTGTCATTTGCACGTCGCGTAGCAGCCGGAGCACGATGTGTGTGGTTTGTCGGAGATTTTGCACCACTAAGCTGCTGGTATTCAGTCTGCTGGCAGCGCAGATGGTTCACGGAAGTTTCGGAACAGATAGTGCCCACGGACAGTGACGCAGTCACAGATAGTGGACTCAGAAACCGGGGCGGACGGCGCCGAGGACCGACCCACGCCACTGTGGACCGCACAGTGGGGCGAGTAGTGAGCAGTACAGACTAACACTGATAACACTGAGTGGCACTGGCCGACACTAAACGGAAAGCGAGACCAACAGTCAGAGCACTCAATGGCATGGAGATGAGAGATGATGAAAGGGCGTGGAGGGTTTATATGATGACGTAAGACACTTACCGCAAAACGATGGACCAGAACAAATAGAACAATCGGGTTGACACTACGCAAAGTAGAGAGCACCTCAAGCACTAATAGGAGCACCAAAAACAACACTGATCACCAAAACGCAACACAACACTGATGAAACGACAGTGTTCTGAAGGCTGTGTCACGTGCAGTTATCAAAGTTATACAACTGCGCACTATCTGATTGATAGCCCACTTGCATACGATAACCTCACTATAACACTTCAGACAATGGCAACTCCCATACTCTCGAATACGCTCTATCACACGGGCTACATTCATTCCGCAGTACACTGCGCATCGTCTTGAACGCATTGCACAACACTTATCACAACTCTTCCAGCACCTCTATTCCCACAACTCTTCCAACAGTCTATTTTCCTGTCGGCCCTGTCGCTCACTTCACAGCACGTTCCCTGTGTCTACTCTGACCTCCACTCTTACCCCGCTCTCACCACCGTTCTCACCTCTGCTCTCACCTTACACAGGAGCCGTCACAGCCCAGTCGCTCGCCTCTCCATCACACACACACTACCACCTCACCGAGGCTCTCCGCACTCGCTTCAATATCACTACCTCTATCCCATCTTCAGACACCGTTTCATCCCCTCGGCTCCGACTGTCCTCTCGCCTCTCCAACACCGCCACAAGTCACCTCTCTTCTTCGACCGTCTCCGTGAGATTCCTGTCAGCTCTGAGGCCGTCGGACGTCAGGCCCGGCCCGGCGGGTCCGGACAGTCCCACTCGGTACCCGGCGCGGCCACGGGACGACCCCATCCAGCCGCTCGTCCGGCTCGGCGCCGCATCCGGCCTGGTGCGGCCGCCGCGGGGTGACCTCAGAGGCCCTGTCGCCGCCGTGGGGCGGGCAGGGGGCAGAGCACGGATGCCCCGCGGCGCCGCCGCGCCCGTGAGTTGGTGATCTGAGTAGGTGGGTAGATGCGTTCGACGAGGTAGGTGAACGCGTAGAGGCGATTCAAGATCGACAGGAAGCGTTTTGATGGGACATGAGACAGTAATGAAAGCAAAATTGAAGATATTCAATCATTACATCTCAAACTACATTGTCATTGAGACGATGGTGATTGGCGTAGACGGTCAATAAAAATGTCGCATGAAAAGACATTGTTAGATGTCCGGTATAACACTCAATGATAGGTACTAATCAAATCGATATTGAAATATACACACAAAACACATCGGAAAAGCGGACAGTCAGGTCAAACAACACACATTGCACATTTCTCGCGACTAAACTAAGCACGCAACTTACAGCATCATGAGAACAAGGTTTACACAGGTAAGGTGAAAGAGGCAAATTAAATCACATATATTCAATACAGATGTAATTCATCAAAATGCCAGAAAGTATGGTAAATATGAGATTTAACATCACATATGTATTTACAAAAAGTCAAACGCAAGGCAGTAGACTGACAGTCAAAACGTCAATTCACCCATACGTGGAAAAAAAAAATTACATCGCGAGAACCAATGAGCAATGATATAAATAATAGTTTAAATGGTGTTTGATGCCTAGTGTTGTACCAACCCAAAACCTAAATCGACATCTGCTAACCTTATTTCCACCCATGATACTATTGACCCGTCAGCTAACTGCCCCTGACACTCCTACTGCCCCTGACAACGGAGTCTGGTGAGCCGAGCCCACCTGCTTAACCGACGGAGAGAAAAGTGAACTGGTACGGCAGAACGGGGACTGTTCAATCAGCGTCACCTGCTGCCGCATCGGGAACAGGCCCCAGTACAAACCAACGCTGCAGGCACTCGGCCTTGGCGACCGAATGCCACAGGCTATGATTGAGAACAGCGTCCCATGTTCCTTACAAGTTAAAATGAAGAAATGCGTCAGTCATGACAATTATAAAGGTACGAGGAACCCGTTTCAGTCGCTGATAATATGCTTTCAGTTGATGGAAAATACCCGCGGAATACAGGACGGGAATCCCAGACCCCAAATAATGAGATGTACATCCTGGTCCACTATTCAGCATTCATTAAAGGCATATAATTGAAACGGGAATACCCTCAACTACGCCGAATCCTATAAGGCCTTTGAGGCCGGAAGCAGCATCGCTGACGTCACCATTCAGAATATAATCATTGAGATCAGAGAGATCTTATGTGAACGCCACAACCTTCCTGGCTGCCATCAGCTAGACTTCTGATCTGCAGCCGGGAGTTGATCGGACCCCACAGCGTGATCTCGTTACCCCACACATCCCGTGCGGGCGAGCAGGTGTCATTCAAAGCAGCCATCGATCAGAGCGACAATGAGCCAGTCGAAAACGGCGTGACGATCGATATCACCAGCTGGAGGTGCCGTCAGTTCAATCTCACGCGTCAACGCCCCGCTCCTGCGCCGCCAGTTACAGCCGCCCACGGGCGAGACGGGGTGGGGTGGACATCGTGTGGCCATTCATAAAGCCGAGTGGGGGCGACACATCACAGGAGATTAGTGAAAGTCACAGTTTGGATACGAAGCTGAAAGGATGAAATGTGGTCACTATGGTCACTGAAGTACTGCTATAAAGACAGTGACCAACACATGAGTACAAAACTGAACATAACAATAGCCATGTCCAACCACGACAGCTAAGAAGAACGCGGAGCGGTTCACAGCTCCAATTCATCTCTGAGCTCTGGGCGGCTGCGCGACCGACGGCGGCAGGACGACAGGGTGGGAAAATCACCCAATTTTCCGGCGCAGTCCAGTGCTGCCGATCTGGCACATCGTGTCTCACCTTGTCTCCTCATCCGCGGCCGATTCCGTCACTGGAAGTGTCACCTGGGCGCGGGACCGAGCCCGCGATCGGAGCCGGGTGCGGCCGGCATAACCAAGATGGCGGGCGGACGAGCGGGCGGGAGGCGCGCCTCTGCGTGCCAGCCGGGGGCTGCTCGGAAGGCCGGCTAGGCGCACATTGCACTGGGACAGCACGGCAGCCGGCGCTCACAGCTCTGAGCGCGTCACCTCACACTGGCGGCGCGTCACTGAGCCGGTCAGCGGCGGGCGGGCGGGCGGGCGCGGCCGGACGGCCTCAGACGCGATGGCGGCCGCTCATGTCGGCCCCGTCGGCTGGCAGCAGCCGGCGGCCGCTCGCTCCCCTCCGGCTCGGTCCGCGTCGCTCGCCGGTATTGATCGCGCCGCTGCCGCCGCCGCGCCGCGCCAGGCGCCACGAGCCCATCGACCGGCCGGCGGCGACCGAGACGGAGCGGCGCGCGCACCGGCACCACACGTGGAGCGGCGCCACCGCCGGCACCGGGCCACCTGCCGACGGTGGCCGGTCCGGTCCTCCACCGGCGCACTACTCCCGGTAGTAGGGTGGGACAGGACCACTGCCTCAGCGGCGACCTCACGAGCCACCTGCCGACCTCAGCCGACCGAGCCCTTCCAGCCGTTCGAGAGAAGGCAACCCGCCAGGCGACAGAGCGGGTCTACGGATGGAATCTTACCGACGTCGGTAGGTCTGCGGCCACCTGGATACGAGCCGCAGCGACAGCTGACGGTCAGGGACGAGCCTCCAGACGGGTCAGTGGGGCAGGACGGCCACAGGACGGCCCGGCGGCCAGACAGCGCACCTGCCAGCAGTTCCGTCCCCTGTCGGCCGCACCTGCCTCCACCGCTCCAACAGACAAACCGTCTGTGCAGTCCCCAATCGGGCGCACCTGCCCCAGCCGCTCAATAGTCAAACTGTTCGGCAGGGGCACGGCAATAAAGCGTAGAGCGGAACCCTCACTGCACCACGGTCAGGGAAAACGAGGCAGAAAGCAAATGAAGAGAATCGGAGACAGGGAGGTGACATAACCCCAGGAAAGGGGTCAAGAAAAGGATCCATAGCAAATGTGCCCTCGTCAAACAGCCGAGGACTAGTCGCCAGATAAATTATACTGGAGAAGCTAGATTCAAACGCTGTCGTGTTGACATATGTACAAGTGTGGATAAAAACGGGCACAGAACAGGTCAGCGGATTACTGCTATAGTAACCAAAACAGCACTACACCACAGTCCCACACACATTTGCGATCTAAAAATGTTCAAAAGTTGGATCAGCAGCGGCAACGACCTGTACGCGTCACATTAATGTTGACGGGCTAAACATAGACAAAGTCCAACATTCGCTTGAGCCGCGTCACGCCATGCAAGTACAGCACGCACGGCAACCGAGTCGCATTTAATGACACCCCAGTGCCGTAAGCCAAGCATTCATTATGAAATGAGTTTCGCTGCCGCTTATATGTATACCGTCCACGCTCGTAAAGGCAATCCCTCGGGCATTTTTAGAACTTTGGGTATATTCGACACCGAGGCTGCTTTAGATTTTTGAGTCCTAATGGAACTCATGCTTTCCATTACCTAAAGCTCAAATTATCGCCGCTTTCCAGCTAAAGGCTTACGGAGGCGTACGAGAAAAGCAGACAATGATAGAGTGCCACAATGCCCAACCCAACACCAGTTTGGTGCTAGCACGGCGAGGATCCTAGCACGGCGAGATATTAGCACGAAGGAGGATCCAAACACAGCAAAGGGAAGGTATGCCACGAAATGCATCTTCTGGATTTCGACTCAGAACCCACAACCAAACATGTGCATGAAGGGCTAACCAACCATCAAATCTCAGTTCCGCTGTTTTCGGAGGCAATGCTAATGCCGACACGTGCAGACCGGGCCGCGGACCGGTCCGACGTCCTCTCCCGGGCGACACCCCTGATGACGGCCGCGCGGCGCCATCATCGGCGGCGACGACGGCTCGGTGGGCGGCGGAGCGTCGTCAGACGGCCGGCGCGCCGGGGGGCGGCGGCACAATATCCCGGCGCACGCCGCCCGCCGCGGCGACAGTCGCCGCCGCACCACTAACGACGAGTGCTAACTGATTTTTTATTGACGCGCCTGAGACGGCGGCAGGCGCGGCGGCGGCCGGCGGCGCGCGAGCACGACCGGCGACGAGCAGCGGCCGGCGGCGGCGATAGTGGCGCCGGCTAACGATCGCGGCGCACGCTTCATTAATGCACCGCGGGGCTGGCGGCGGCCGGGCCGGCTGATCGACGCACCAGATTACCATCGATCTTGGGCGGCCGGCCGGCCGGCGGCCCACACCGGGGCACCGGGCCAGATGAGAGGCTCGGCCGGGCCAGTCGGCCGGCTGCCGCGCCGCCCTCAGATGGCTGCTAATTGATGGGTTCCGGCTAGCCGAACGGTCAGCACGGGAAGCAGAGAGGCGATCCTCTCGCGGGTCACTCCCGCCGACCACAGGGCCGTCGCCGCAGACGTCCAGACAGACACTACCTTCGGACGAGCACTCATCTACCTGATGAGACGCCCGAATCCCATCATCGCCAACTACAGCTTCCGCCAGTCAAGACATGTCACGGTCTCCGTGAGTCAGACCAGATGGTCATGATCGTGTAGATGATGTTGGCGGTGTTTGGTCATCCAGTTTGCATTGGTCATCGACATCAAATGATCCTTATGAAGAGCCAGAAATCATGTCCACTCTTCGCATCGTCATGGACGAAAACTCCCTCTACCATCCCAAAAGGCTTTCCCAGCGGTTGTTCCCCTCTAATCTGTCTCTTCGGCCGCCTCCCTCTCCGGCCGCCTTCCTCCCGGCACCCCTCGATGCCGGGTCAGCGGAGAGGCGGCGCAGCATCCCCGGCCGGCCTCTCTGG